TGGGGTCGTCGTAACGTATCTCCATCGTAAATCGGGGACTACCCTGCATTTGCCGCACTGCCCCCTGCTGACAACGTAGCCCTGCAGCCAACGTAACAGTAATGGATATATAAACTCAACGACTGTGTTTATTTTACCAGGTAAGCCCCACTGAGCGACCTGGCCACAAATGATAGCTCAACGAAGTGGCTTATCACGTAGAAATGTATAGCAGCCAAGTACTCTAAACGCATGTTGATTCTCCATAATAGAGGCGTTTTGGGTTAGATCGCGTAAATATAAATGTGTCGTTAAACCCGCCACCATCCGACAGCCAATTTGTGAGGTTTGTCACTTAAGCAAAACATGCCAATTCGTTACTAGCACAGCACACCGGTGTGTTAGAGAGTAAACCCACAACATTCACAATTCGAGCACGACGTTTTGCCAGTAATTACAAATAACATCATCAGGCGACATCCAGATTTGTGGAGAAATCCTCCTGTTTCGTTCTTAAATAGAAGGATAAATGTGATGTCGTCACTTGTGAACCAATCAGGTGTGGGGGGGGAGGTTTAATCAATGCATATAAATTACAATGGATATTCATTACCGGTTGGGTTATTCACAGGGTACTCAACATACATTATGCATGCACATTGTGCTTGTACATCCTTACTCTTTTGCTCTTTCGGTAAAGTCACGTAGGTATGAAATAAAATAAATCGCGACGTTTCGGGCGCAACACCCAAGCGTCCGTCATCAGGTGGGAAAGCGATGGTCCTGCTGCTGAGGCAGACCGTTTTAAAAGGTTTGAAATGGGTGTAGCCCAAGGGTCATAAAGAAGTGGGCGGGGCTAGTGATGTTATAAAGAAGTGGGCGGGGCTAGTGATGTTAATGTGATAAATTAGCATAATGTTAATGTGATAAATTAGCATATGGCTGTAAGATAGGAGGAGAGCGGCCTCCTCGACGAGGGAGTGCAACACAACGGATGCAATCCAAGTGGCATGTGAGCATGAGAGTGCAATACAAAGGCATGTGAGCATGAGAGTGCAATACAAAAGACGTGAGCATGAGAGTGTAATACAAGTGACACGTGAGCATGAGAGTGTAATCCCAAGGACATGTGAGCATGAGAGATCTAAGAGAGAGGCATAGAGAGAGAGAGAGAGACACAGAGTCAGAAATAACAGCTGACATAGGCAGGTAGGATGGAAACATCACAGTCAGTTAAGACTTTACCTGGTTAATAATGTCCTTCCAATGATCGCTCAGTTTGTACCCATCCTCTTGGTTGAAGTTGTGTCTGTGTTTATATATCTGGATGGCTTAATGAACAAATCTCTGAAGGAAGCCGGTAGGTTTGCAGAGTACCTCCGTCTTGGAAAAATTAATTTCGCGTGAGCCCACGGCAGAGGTATTAACATCACTAGCCTCGGCCACTTCTTTATGAACCTTGGGGTACACCCATTTCAAACCTTTTCAAACAGTCTGCCTCAGCAGCAGACCATCGCTTTCCCACCTGATGACGGACGCTTGTGTGTGCGCCCGAAACGCTGTGATTTATTTTATTTTCTACCTACGTGACTTTACCAAAAGAACCAAATAGTATGGATTCCTGCAGTCACGAAAGCTTCAAATCAAGATTGTACATCCTGCCGTTTTTTGTGTGCACTAAAATCGCAGTAGCTGTTGTTGTCTGCTCGCAGTTAATCATCATCGACGTACGGGGTGACCTGTACAGGCATGCAGTTAAACTTTATGATTCGCTTCAAAGCAGCACTAAGCCTATAGCTATCCGAACGGTTAAATTATTTTTCTTTCTCTCAATTTGGATAGATTCTCTAATTAGTCTTGGCCAATCGTAACTAGTTTTGCACAGCACTCAACATTACCAAAATCAATTGAGTGTCATTGTTGAACACGTGTTAAACATGTTGAGTCTAAATGTCGACGGAAAAACCGGAGGGCGCAGAAATAAATGAGGGCAACCACGGGGAGAACATGCAAACTCCAAATATACAGCAGGAGTCAGGGTTGTGATCGAACCCACGAACCTCCTACATACCAGGCGAGGTAGTTAAGATCTCGTCACTGCGGCACCCATATAAATGGTCCTTCATTGGCCAAACAAGTCTCACCCTACTGATGAGACACAACCAGAGCAGTTACATTAATCTTCTGGAAGACTGCTTTCCATCGTACCATCGTACCATGTAAACACACCGTTTCAAAATGATGCCAATGCTCGCCCGTGCATTTTACTATGCGAAGCAAAACACATTCCTGCGGAGGCAGCTGGTAGGAACGTTGGGTTGCTCGGTCAATGGCCAGGGTCAATGGCGGCGAGGTGTATTCCGCAAATATGCCCGACTGTGAGGGCGGGCACAAGCCGGCGTGAGTAGGTTAAACGTTGAGCTTTATAAGGGCACCACGGGGTGACCAGCCCCTCCCCACCCAGCCCCACCTCTCCCACCCCCCACCCAGCCCCACCCTCCCCACCCAGCCCCTCCCCACCCTCCCCACCCAGCCCCTCCCCACCCTCCCCACCCAGCCCCTCCCTCCCCACCCAGCCCCTCCCCACCCTCCCCTCTACACCCAGCCCCACCCCTCCCATTTTTGGATGCACGACGGACGGACGGACACAATAATCCCCTGTGGGCTGGTGTAACCAGGAGGTTCCTACACAGTATTATAGTCCAGAGAACATAGTACGAGAGTGGCTGAGTGGCGAGTTGGTTAGAGGCAGGGCTCGCACTCGTGGCTGGGTGGATAGTCGGTTATGATTAGGTTGAAGCAAGAGGGAATAGTAAATACCATGAATTCCTACCCTTTGTAGACTATGAAAAAAGCATTCGGTGAAGTCGAAATTAATGCAGTCATCCAAAATATCCCAAAACCAATGCCTACAAAACCAATGCCTACATTAAACAAATTTGAAATAATAAGAAATCACGTGAAGAAAGTACTTATCAGAAGGGGGAGTCAGAACAAGCAAATGCGACGTAACATAGTTCAGAGGGACACAGCTGGGATGTATACCCAGAGCAGTTATCGAAAGGATTCCTCTGGTATAAATAAATTGTCAGATTCTGAATGTGGCCTGCGATCAAAATGATGACTTGAAACACACATGTGACCGAGAGTGGGTTAGAATGCTTTTGGAAAATTGTACCTAATGAAAATCATTGTGGCTGAATAAGAAAGTTTTCAAGAAGTATGTATGACATAGGTTATAAACATGGACATTGACAAAAAAGTTAAAGGGAAAAAGTAAAAACGTGTACGTTTGCACCTCCGATTTGTACGGTTAGATACGTATGGTGCGAAAGAAGTTCAACACGCATACATACAAAGAAGCATGGAGATGTGCGACCCTGGGATTAATAACGCTGAGATATAGAAAGAGAAACACGTAGGTAAGAACATGGGCATAGACACTGTTTTGACTGCTAAGAAAAGCAAGTGAGCTTCGACAAGGACACATCGCTCGAAGAAAAACGACAGCCGTTAGTCGAGGCTAGCGATGGAGTTGCAGCGAAAGGAAGGAACACGCCCGAGAACACTTCTACCACAGAGATAATAGAAATGAAATCAGCTCATGTGCAGGTGCTAGACGGATTGCTGTATCGGAAAGACCGTGGTGACAACTTGAGAAAAATCTTAATCCAACAGTGGATTGATCTTGGATGATGATGTTGAAAGGTAGGGCTCGTGTTTGTTTGCCTCTTGGTTAGGGGTAGGGCTTATGATGATTCGTTAGCGTTCTCTGTCCACAAACGACTTGCCCCATCCGCGTCGACAAACCGTGCCCTTTCCAGTTTTTATTACACGCTTTTATACTGGTAGGAACCTCCTGGTTACACCAGCCCACAGGGGATTATTGTGTCCGTCCCTCCGTCGTTCATCCAAAAATGGGAGGGGTGGGGTTGGGTGGATAGGGGAGGGAGGGGAGGGGCTGGGTGGAGCTGGGTGGGGAGGGGAGGGTGGGGAGGGACTGGGTGGGGAGGGGCTGGGTGGGGAGGGTGGGGAGGGGCTGGGTGGGGAGGGTGGGGAGGGGATGGGTGGGGAGGGGCTGGTCACCCCGTGGTGCCCTTATAAAACTCAACGTTTAACCTACTCACGCCGGCTTGTGCCCGCCATCACAGTCGGGCATATTTGCGGAATACACCACGTGGTGCCGCCGTTGACCCTGGCCATTGACCGAGCGACCCAACGTTCCTACCAGCTCCCTCCGCAGGAATGTGTTTTACAGTAACTCACTCAGTCTGTTGTATCCTCAAATCTTGTAACTCAATTTCAATCCACTTCCCAATGTTGTATCGACTGCAAACTTGGTATACTTATGTCATACTGTTGACAATACTATATTCTATCATAAAAAATGAAATCATATATATTTTTAAGCAATATTTTTTATATGTTATGTTTCGGCTTGGGTCTAATTGTCCACGCTCAACTCACGTTGGCTGTAAAATCACCACGGCCTCCTTACGTTATGGCAAGCTTCGGGTCCACTTCCTGGAGTCGTGGAGTTCTGCCATTACTAGTACGGTACATTTCATGAAAGCGTGTTTAAAAAAAAACGTATTTTCAAATATTACTTATTTTTGCTGCTTGTTAGTTGCGGTGTTCGCAGTGCGATGCGGTGACACCGGATGACGATGCCACACCTTGCCGACGATGCCTGCCGAAATCGACGCCGCCCCCCCGGGTTTAGCATTTACTTATTTTCTTTACCATCATTGATTGAAGCACCACCCTCTTTCGCACTGCGTCCTTACCCACACGCATAGTGTCATCCTCTCTGCACTGACTCGCCGCTCACAATAGCGGCGGGCGGGCGGGCGGGGCGCGCTAGGGAAACAACACAAAAGGGTCGCTTGTGTTGAGCACCAGCCAGACCCACCCCATTATCTGAACGGGCAGCAGGTATTTTCTGTGACAGATAAAAAAAGGAGTGATCAAATAAATAAATAAATATTCCCCTCTTTGGCGAGCGGTGGCGGCGGGGGGGGGGCAGAAGGGGGGCGAAAGGCATTTTCAGGGCTGCTTCTCCAGTAGTGCTAGCATATGCGTGGCCTCGAGTTAAATTATTTAACGTTTTGCGAGTTTGATGTTTTGGTTTGCGCTCATTTTTTTCCCCCCGGCTTCGTATTTTTGATGAAAATGTGAGTCACAATGGAAGAGGTATGCCTGTGCAGATTCTCACAGCGGAGGTAAGGTGGGGAGAGGGGAGGGGAGGGGGTGCGTGGCTCAGGGTTGTTGTGTAAGATTTGTGTATTTTTTTTAGTTTGCTTGCCAACACAGAGCTGTGTCATCGGAGCTCGATTACAGATCAAAGGGTTTTTTTTAATTAACCTGGTTTAAGACGTATTTTTATTTTTATTTTAAAAAAAAAGCTTCACTCGTGCTCAAAATGAGATTTCAGCTTGCGCTCGTGTGTCTCTTTAGCGGTCCAAAACCCGCGGTGAAGAAGAATTCCACGTCCTGGGTGTTTGTTTGCGAGACGAGTCTTTATTGAAGGCGAATCGCTTGTTGACTTGTGGTGCCCATTGTATCGACAACGGAGGAATGAATGATGCGCCGAGGCGACCCACAATGGGGGGATTGTGAATCGGGAGGTGTAAATCACAGCGTCGCCTGCCTGGATTTAATGAGTTCCTTACAATGACACTGATTGTGTCCGTCGCGTTAAAAATGCAATATAACTATCAGTATTTTGGGTTTCTTTAATGATGATTCTCTGGAGAGCGCTATACAGTCAAATCCTGGCTGGGAGACTGACTCAACCCGTCACCTGTCCTCGGGTGGTTGAAACAATTGCCAGCTTTCTGGGGGAGAAAAAGACACGACGGCTGTCTCTTTTTAAAAAAAAAAAAAATTAAACGTGTGTTTCTCGCCATAGGAATGTGGATTTCCCCCACCACAGTTTTCGGACCGTTAACGGATATAATCAGACAGACACTTTGACTCTAGTCGTATCTTCTTTGGTTCTTTCGGTAAAGTCACGTAGAATGAGAATAGAATAATAAAGTAACACAATAAAATTCTCACGACGTGTTATTTTATTACTTTATTCTCATTCTACGTGACTTTACCGAAAGAACCAAAGAAGACGAATCCTTGCAGTCACGAAAGCTTTAGACCTCGTCGTATCGTTCGTTTTAGCGTATTATTATCATCATTCATATTTTATTATCATCGTCATAGCCGTCATCGTCTGTGCTCTATCCACTGCTAGATTATGACCTCCCCAAGTCGTCGCCATCTCTCACTGTCGTGAAATGTGACTATTCAACAAGCACGTGCACACGGGCTAATTTCATCGCTCCATCTCTGCGGCGGATGGTCCCTTTGGAGCTCGTTTCCACCTTTGGCTGCTCCTCCAGTTCGTCTGGAACGACCGGCGATCACCTCTCTACTATGTGTGATGTCTCCAACCTGCGTACGTTGCGTTACTGGAGTGGTGTTAAGTAACGCCGCCACCCTGAATAATCATAGCCTTATTCATTAGACCTCCTTTGCCAGTACCAAAATGTAACAATAGGGTTTTCCCCCTTTTTTATCGCAACAAAACTGAAACCTTTATTACAAGGATTCATGTCTGCATTAACCACAATACCTGCAGTCAAAATGCAAAAAAATATACTATGATAATATATGCATTATTATTATAGCCTTATTGTTATCCCACACCTCCGATTGGCACCGTTGGCTGTGTAGGGTGAGAACGATGTTCAACATACATACATTGAGACGTAGACGCATCTTATAATTCAACATCATCAGCGGCCTTGGTCTATCCGCGAGCGTCAGGATAAAATCGTGACCTTGCGGTCAATCTATGTCTCGTCCTGCAACACAAACGGAATCGCAGAGCGATCGAAAGTGAGAGATGTATCCCGGTGACTGCTTGTAAATGTGAGTGGTAGGGCTTGGGCAGGTACACGTTCAGAGAAGTTGATGATGGCAGCCAAAGGTCTAACCCACCCGAGAGTCTTATTCTCTCGTATGGCATGTAAAGCAACGGTTTGTGTCGTTGTCATGGTTGAATGGTAAGGTCCTTGAACCAATCCAAGGCGGCAGTAAATGCTGTATGGATTGCAGTCGATACCGCCAGGGTGTCAGTGAATGGGGCCACTCGTCGGTTATGTGCTTGATGATTTGGGCTTTATCACGGTCGCAGATTTGGTGATTTTTTTATTATTATTTTCCATTCGTGGAACGTGTGCGCGCACCTCCCCGTGCTGCGTCCGGACGCAGTTCAGTGTGGTCCAAAGCCATCGTGAGAGAGAGAGAGAGAACCCCGACACTTCCATGGTCGGTGGCCAAGAGGATGTAGGCTGTAATAACAAACCTGTGTACATTTTGTAGCAACAGTAAGTAGAAATGCGTTCTTGTTAATCTTTGTTTTTTTTCGGTAAAGTCACGTAAAAATAAGAAAAAATGAAATTACATAATATACGACGTTTCGATTGCAACACAAGCAATCATCATCAGGTAGAGGAAATACATAACCGCAGATATATATACAGACCTTAAGTAGAAGGAATTAACACAGATATACCAGGGGATACAGAGAGACGGAGCATCACACTAAATCAAACAGGGTTGGTTGTAGTTGAGACGTCGACTGCCGCAATTACAATTGTGGAACGCGTATTTCATTGTTGAAGGATGCCTGGTACTCAAGTGCTACCATTTCAAAACAGGTCATCAGACAGAAAAAAAAACCCTAATATAATTCTCATCAGGCCCCATGGTGTTAATTCTCGTCTCCAAACCCATATTAACTCGAGCTCTCTCACCTCTTTGTTTTTGTGCTATCAGGGGCGGAGCCACAGGGCAGGCTGGGGGGGGGGGCTCAGCCCCCCCTGAAATTTTGGGAAAGTCGGTAATCGGGATAATCGGATATCCGGCTGCTGCAAAATGCTGCAGGCTGCCACCTTGTGCTGCCCTGCAGGCTGCCACCTTGTGTGCTGCCCTGCAGGCTGCCACCTTGTGTGCTGCCCTGCAGGCTGCCACCTTGTGCTGCCCTGCAGGCTGCCACCTTGTGTGCTGCCCTGCAGGCTGCCACCTTGTGCTGCCCTGTAGGCTGCCACCTTGTGTGCTGCCCTGCAGGCTGCCACCTTGTGTGCTGCCCTGCAGGCTGCCACCTTGTGTGCTGCCCTGCAGGCTGCCACCTTGTGTGCTGCCCTGCAGGCTGCCACCTTGTGTGCTGCCCTGCAGGCTGCCACCTTGTGTGCTGCCCTGCAGGCTGCCACCTTGTGTGCTGCCCTGCAGGCTGCCACCTTGTGCTGCCCTGCAGGCTGCTTGAGCGGCAGCCTTTCGAACTTATCGAACTTATTAGCCACATCAGCGGCTCCGACCTATTAATAAACTCCGCGTTAAAATCCAATAAAATTTGTTTTATACATTTGTGGCGCCCATTGGAAAACATAAACGCACTGAGATATCTCAGAATATTGAAGTCAGCCCCCCCCTTAAAGTCAAAATCCTGGCTCCGCCACTGTGTGCTATGAAGAAGGGCCATTGTCCGACAAGTCGCCAAATATACATACTATTTGTTATTTTAAGGCGGTGTTGTTGACGAGTATATGGAGGGTTTTTGTTGTTGTTGTTAATTGTGCTTGTGCACCGCTGCCATCGGCAACATCACCAAATCACTTGCTTTAGTAATGCAAGCAGACACGTGAAAACTAGTCCAGCGTTTGCCTTGTGTGAACCACTGACGTGGAGAAACATTAGTCCAGTGGGCCACTCATCAGTTGTTGAACTTGAATGCTATCTAAATTTGCAATAACACATAGACCTTGTATTCGGCATACAGCATAATGATTCACAAATGACTCAATTGGGATCATACGTAGCAATCATCGCTCTCCTACTGCAAAACTTGGCAGGACCCTCCTCGAAACATTGGAATCGGTTGAGGCTTTCATGATAATAACTCCCCCCGGCTTCCGCGAAGTGAGTAATTGCCGGCATGATTCTCGGTCACTAAAGAAAATCTGTTATTGTCTCGTTCGTTTATTATCTCGCCTTTGTCATTTGTGCCATCCTGGCTGTGTATTTGCCTCATTTGTGTCCTGTTTATCTCGATTTCGATTGCCTCGTATGTGACGAATAAGTTTAGGGGCGCCATGGTGGCGAGATGTTAACTATACCTCGCCTGAAATTTTGGTTTAAAGCTTTCGTGACTGCAGGGATTCATAATCTTGGTCCTTTCGGTAAAGTCACGTAGAAGGGAAACAATAAAATAATAAAAATATAAAACAATACAATTCTCACGACGTTTCGACTGCAACACAAGCATTCATCATCAGGTGTGAAAACCACAGCAAGAAAATTTGGAAAAAGTGGCGGGTTTTTTTAACGTCAAATTTTCTTGCTGTGGTTTTCACACCTGATGATGATTGCTTGTGTTGCAGTCGAAACGTCGTGAGAATTTTATTGTTTTATATTTTTATTATTTTATTGTTTCCCTCCTACGTGACTTTACCGAAAGAACCAAGAATATACCTCGCCTGGTCTACAAGAGGTCGGTGGTGTTCAATCCCGACCCTGACGCCTGTATATTTGGAAGTTTGCAAGTCTCTCTCCCCGTGGTCGCGTGGATTGTCTTTTCTCAGAGTCCTCCGGTTTTTCCTTCCACATTTAGAAACGTGCGTTCATATTATTTGGCTGCTGTAGATTTCCGCAGGATAAGCCACTTCGTTGAACTATCATTTGTGACCAGGTCGCTTCTGACAAATAACTATATAGCTTAGTGGGCCTTACCTGGTTACATAAAAAAATGTAGTTTTAGTTTACGTGACTGTGCTGTCTTTTCTATCATGTGCATTGTATTGTCTCGACTCCACGTGTCTGTCATGTGACCTACTGGTTGACTGGCTCGTTTTGTTGTGTTTGCCTCTTCTGTTCTATTTTCTATATAAATACTGTATGTTATATTTACTACGAGCTTGACTACCCGGCGTCGCCCGGGACTTGGATTCACCACGCCCGGCCGCCTTTGTCTCCCCAGTGGCGATGTTCACACATCACACCAGTTACTCGTTTGAGGCTGAGTCGACCTAGGGGAGGCCCAGGACCGGTTCAAATAATCGTCACCGGTGGTGGCCGTGAGCGGGAATGTGTTACGCTTCCACATGCGCGGGTCACGTGACAGATTTGACGTCACAGCTCACTTGCCGTGCAAAAAATAAATACATTATTGAGCTCCCCCCCCCCCCAAAAAAAAATGTGTATTTTTATCATTTTTGCATGGTGTACAGTCTGGAAAGTACCCACATGGCAAATTTCAAGTTTGTTGCATGTCGGGAAGTACGCTAAACATTTTGAACAGACACATAATCACAACTTTGCCTTTATATATATGGAGATATTGAGATGCGGCCATTTAAGTAATGGTTAGTACACTGGTCTCGTAATTCAGAGGTCACCGATTCGATCTCGCGACGCGAGAGCTGAAACAATGGGACAACATACTTAAATGTTACCCGCGTCTGTCAAACAGTGCTGTGTAAATGTATGCACTACAGTCGATGTGCGAGTTGCGTGTGGTGGGGTAAAGCGTGGGTACTCTTGCCTCTTCCAAGATGCCCGCCGGTGTGGAAAAGTAGACAAAATACCCTGAGGAGGGGTTTTCCAGAGCTACATTTGTATATGTATATATATACACATGCACCACTGATGATATAGCATTACTGAACCAGAAACAGAAGCCAGCAATGCCATATAATGGCGTGAGAAAGTGTGCCTCTCAATTTCAGTTCCTGAATAAGATCCCATCATGTGGAATGAAACATCGGACAGCATGTCGAACAACCCGAGGTACAATCAGAAAACACATCAGAGAGCTGCAGTTCTAACCTCGTCGCTGGGGATGTAAACATGGCCGACTGAAATGGAAATCCATCTCTCTTGATAGAACTTAAGTGTCAGGACCTACCATCCATTGTTTATTAAGGCAGAATTTTTACATTTTATTATTAGTCTAGTTGACAGCAACTTGTGGAAATTTGGTTAAGACTTAGCCTGTGGATTTCATAGTAATTTCCATCACGCTTGATGATTTTTGTCCATGTATAGTCATGGGTGACTAAAATACAAAATAAAAATTCGTGGGGTATTTTTGTTGCTTATTCTTCTTCTTTCGTATGGCTAATGTAGATGCAGAGCAACACCTACAATTTCATATTAAGGTGGTCAGGTGTAGTGGAGTGTATCTTTGTAATGTCTCCTTCGTATTTGTGGATCGAGCATTACGTCGTTATATGTTACATGGTCTGTTCTGAATGATAAGAGTCGCACACTGGAGAGTTTAACATTTTACATTCGTGCATCAGGAATCCTCATCTGCCATGGTTTGTATAGATGTGGTTTATGGTGGATTATGAGCTTCGTGGAAGATCGAACCCAGGGATATTTTACGTTGGGTCTTTCACAAGGTGTTTGTTTGTGAGTTATTTTGAACTCCATTCAGTTTTCGAAGCTTCATTGGTGTTTTAACTGGCACTGTTGAAGGTATTTTCGTCGCTGGTTTCGTGAACGTATTCTAACACCACCGCCATCCTGACCGTTCTGGTGCCAGGAACCTGCTCGTGTATGGAGGCGTGGGCCCTCAGCGTGCGTGCCCCGTGGCCCTGTGTAGGCGAGGAGGGCCACAGGGATGTGGGCCCTGAGGCCGCCCGGGTGGCGCATGGCAGTGCTGCTTCGCGGACTCGCCATGGTCGCACTCACCCACCTGGGACAAAGCTGCCCACGGCACGGTGAGTGACAACGCGCTCGAGATGCAAAAAAGTGAAAAGTGGACAGAAAGTACAACGGCCATACTATATTTATGAATGAGTGGGGAGGAAACAGGAACTGTCCCACCTAAACAGAAGTTATCTGGAAGTGGCAGTTCAGTCATCCTAGTGTGCGTGTTTCAACACAGATCCTGGTAGCAGTACGAGATCCAGCCACTTCGTTGAGCTTCCAATTGTGACCAGGTCGCTTCTGAAAAAGAGCTATACAGCTCAGTGGGCCTTACCTGGTAAAATAAATAGTTTTTAGCATATGAACAGACCCCCAGACACAACTTGAACCTAGCTGTATCTCAGAGGTGCTGACTCAGCACCCTGACATGAACATCAGCCCTTTCATAGTCAGCTCAGCCCCAGTGATCAAACCCAGGTTTCTCAGGGGTGCTGGCTCCGTGCCCTCTGGCGCAGGTATCATCTGCCTGAGAAAATCCTCTTCTCAAGCTTGAACCCAGGTTTCTCAGAGGGTGCTGGCTCAGTGCCCCAACGCTGGTGTCATCCTCCCAAAGAGAGAGAGACAGCCACCCATCGCCCCATATCTTGCATAACTATGGTCTCGATACCAAAACATTCATAACAGATACGGTCCGTTTGAAGTCCTTAAGCGGAAACGATTTTGTTATTGTGGCCAATTTGGGTGCTCAAGACGGAGAGCAGGGCGATTGTTTGCGAGGGCAGGGGCGCTGCAATTGGAGGGAGGAGAGGTCCCGCGGGTGCTGACAGCTGCGGCCCAGCGAACACGGTTCCCTTTTGATACCCACGATACCCTCCTGCCCCTGACACCGGAGCCCCCACCACCCCCACCACCCCCGCTCTGTTCAGTAACTTCCTTTACGAGCCAAGAGGGGCAGGCTGGCCTTGGAGTGGTCACGGGAGGAACCTCGCCGGTTCACATCCGAATAGGGTTGCTACTCGTGAGGCACAAACGAATTAGGCACAAGTACGGAAAAATAAAATCTCGCCATCCCAGCAGAGGGGGAGAACTTCATGTAAAGGTGCAGTGCTGCAATTTCTTGCTCAAGCTGCTGCTGACACTAGGGCCTCCATTATAGGGAGAGAGAGAAAAAAAAAGAGAGAGGGCTCTCTAGCGATCTCTAGAGAGCTCTCGAGTCAGGTTCACATTTATTTGTTTCAACAGGCAAGAATTCAAAAGACCAGGATGTCTCAATTACAAGAGTCACCATGGTCACCGAAATAACAAAAGCCAAAATAAATCAAATCGAGCGCAGCAATGAATCAAATCGGAATCGGGGCCAAAACAATTGTCTTTTGCGAGAAATAACAAAAATATTGCACAAACATAATTAAAATGTGAATACGTAGCGTAAGTCGACTTGGGCAGATTATTTTATGTTGGCGGTAGTGGATGTGCAATATCAGCTTCTGTGTGCGAGTGTGTTCGCATGTAGCCCACATGCCAGGCCACCGCATGCCCAAACGGCTTTTGTTTGGTCGGATAGAGGGGGCTAAAAGGGCTAGAGGAGAGATGGACTGATGTGGTACAGGAGGACGTGGAGCTGAGTGGACTTGCCGATGAAAATGGTACCAGCGGTGTCAAAATCGGCCTCTGTGGAGGAGGCTCGTGAAGGACGCTACTGAGCAGTTGGAGAGCAGAGGAGCGACGCTCACAACAACGAGCGTATGCCAAATCAGTCAACCCATGGCACCTGCATCTGTCCCGTAACCTCCTGCCAGTGAGCCTTCGACACTTCACGTGGCCACAAAGTGTACATAGCCTGGCACAAGCACGTTGGTAACGTCACTGTCACTTCCTGGCGAATGGCAGTTGTTGTTGTTGTTGGATGTGACAGAGGTGGGGAGATGGGGGTGGGTGACGTGTATCTACAATTGATGGGGGGGGTCGGAGTGGTGGGTCGGGGGTTGAGAGGGATAACTGATTCCACGCTAGCACGGGGGGTGGGGATTAGGGGAGCGTGGGAATGGGGGCTGGAGGGCGGGGCTAATGCCGTAGATGTGAAGTAGCTATACGGCATCGTCTGCTGCTTTTTGGCGGGTTGGATGGCATTAATATAAATGCGTCGTTAGCCAACCACCACCCGACACAGTCAATTAGTAAGGTTTGTCACGTAAACAAAACGTGCCCATTCGTTGCTACTTCAGCACACCGGTGTGTTGGAGAGTAAACGCACAACGATCTTTCGCTGGTGATTACAACCAGCTTCATCAGGCGACTTTGCCAGAATTGTTTACGTGGAAAACCTTACTAATTGGCTGTGTCGGGTGGTGGTGGGTGAACGACACATTTATATTTACGCGATCTGACCAAAAAAAAAACCTTATTGTAAATAATATTGGTCGTTAAAGCCTCCGTGTTAAACCGAGTGTCTGCTCTGTTGAAAGCGCCGTTAGCCAAGGGGACAGTGGCTGCAGCGATTCAGATATCACTCAACACTGATATTAGCCATGACCAGAAATCCAATTCAGGCTGGCAGTTTTATAGCACAGTAACACGAATCTCTGTGCCCAGATATCATGTTTTTTTGTAGCCCGATGTCGTCTTCCTCGCCTGCTAGACAAAAGGTTGGGGGTTTGATCCCGACACTGTCGGCTGTATATTTGCAGTTTGCACGTCTCTCTCCCCGTGGTCGCGTGATATTTTTTTTCCTCGGGGCCCTCGAGTTTCTCCCCCCCCCCCACCTTCACATTTAGAAACGTGCGTTTTAGATTGTTTTTGAACTGCCATAAATTTCCACGCGATGGGCCACTTCATTGAGCTATCATTTGTGGACTAGTCCTGGGTAAACTGCCAAATCGTTGCGCGTGGCGCTAACGTTTTTTTTTATAAATAAATAAATAAATGCGCCGTTTAAAAATAAATTTATGCGAACCAACACACCTTAAGACGACCGTTTGAGTTATGGTCGAAACGTCGTGAGAATTTTTTTATTGTTTTATATATATTTTATTATTTTGTTGTTTCTCTTCAACGTGACTTTACCGAAAAACTAAGGATATAATAAGCTAACATTTTGATTTAAAGCTTTCGTGACTGCAGGGATTCATATTCTTGATCATGTTTTATTATTTCCCCTTCTACGTGACTTTACCGAAAGAACCAACATTATAATAAGTTAACAGCTCAGTGGGATTTACATGGTAAAAAAAATATATAGTTTTTTTGTGATTTGTTTAATATTCCTATACTTTGCACTCCTATCGTGTTTTTCTATTAATTATTGTTTAACTATTCTAGATTTGAAGCTTTCGTGACTGCAAGGATCCATACTCTTTGGTTCTATTCGGTAAAGTCACGTATTGTTGAACTTTCTGACACGCCCCTTACTGGACACCTGCAAAAAAAAAGAGCTGTATAGTTCATTGGCTTCCTCCTATTAGGGATTTACGCGAGTAAGGGGCCGTCCATAAATGACGTCACGCACCTGGGGGGGGGGGGGTCAGACATTTGTGACGATGTGTGACGAAGGGGGGGGGGGGGTTGAGAAATGTGACGTCACATCAAAATGCGCAACTTTAAATAAATATAGACAACACGTTCTACTGAATTAAATAGACTTTTTAATAAATGTTTTCTCCTACAACATCAGAGTGCAGCGCCACATTAAATACGTACTACAATGACAACAGTTTAAAGAGATTTTAAGCATGTTTTATATTTTTTTGGGGGGGGCAGACCTTTGTGACGTCATATTTGAGGGGGGGGGGTCTGACTTTTTGTGACGCCGTGTGACGATGGGGGGGGGGGGGGGTCAAAAATCGTACAAAATCGCGTGACGTCATTTATGGACGGCCCTTTAGCCACGTCCAGTCGTATGAATGAGTAAACCGAAATCGATCGGCTAACTGGTTGGATGGAGGGAGTGGCTAAGTGTGAGCACTCCGCGCCTCTCCCAAGACGTCTGATCAGCATGGCAGTTTTGGCCTAAATACCGTCCGGAGAAGGGGCCCTCTTGAGCTCCCCCTAGTAGAGACCCTACCGGTACAACACTGGCACGAGCAAAAATTGTCAGCGCTGTGCTCATGGGCGGCGTTTGCGGGGTGGAAGGGGGGGGGCACGAGGAGGGAAAGCCCCCCCCCCCAAACTGGACTCCATTGTTAATCTATTTTCAGTCGTTTACAATTAAAATTAAACGTGATAATTGTACGCATCCGCGATTCCGAATGTGAGCGACTAAGCGAACCCCTGCCCTCCTCCCCCCCCCCCCCCAAATATAGAAGTCAAACTTTGCCTATGGCTGTGCTTTTATCTCTCTGAACATTCCTGTAGTCGAGAAAAAAAACACAATCAAAGTGCAACCCCACTGCTTGCTTGCGCCTGGTATACAGGAGGTCGTGGGTTCAAACTCGACCTTGACGCTTGTATATTTGGGGGTTTGCGGTGTCTCTCTCCCCGTGGCCACGTGGATTTCTCTCCGGTTTGCACGGAGGTTTTCCCCTCCATGTTTAGAGTCGACATGGGTCTAGAGTATTTGACTGCAGTACAGTGAAGTTTTTTTTCACGTGATAAGCCACTTCGTTGAGCTATCATTTGTGGCGGCCAGGTTGGTTCTGAAAAAGAGCCACTTAGCTCAGTGGGCCTTACGTGGTAAAATAAAAAAATGAAATAGTTTAATCTTGATTTGAAGCTTTCGTGACTGCAGGAATCCATGCTCTTTGGTTCTGTTCGGTAAAGTGACGTAGGTAGAAATTAAAATAAAAAAAATATTTTATAAATAAAATGTAAAAAATATTTTATACCTACGTGACTTTACCGAAAGAACCATAGAGTATAAAAATAGTTTTTTTTTATATAATGCGTGTCTGTGAAAATGTGCGCACCATGCACAGCTCCGTTAACATTTTCACGTTTTATGTTTGTGTCGGCAGCTATTGGGAGAATCACGATTCAAGACGGCGAATACGGTACCCGACCCCCCCCCCCCCCCCAACCCTTCTCACTCCTCCTGGTGGCAGCACACACAGAGGCATCCTTATGGAGCCTCGGCACATTCATTCAGCTCCGCTGAGACTCCTGACAGCAAATTGAAAAATATCTTCCCATCGTTGGCATCAAGGGAAGGGAACGGATTCCACTCACAAATATAATAAGTGCACAGTTTCATTTAAATGCTGTAATATGCAGATTTTGCAAGATGCACTTTTGCCCCCTCGATAAAGTGTTTTTAAGAAAAAGTTGGGCGAGCGTCTTATAATCTGGCAGGCATGTATGAATGTGTGTGTGTGTGTGCGATCCGATTTGTCTAACTTTATTGACACCGGGGACACGTTTGGGATGTGGCTTACTTTCCCGGAGCATTGTATCATCTGAAGAATACGGAACCTACTTCCTCTATCATATCCGATTCAACTCACAGACCTTTCTATTTATCCGCACGTCAATGATTTCTATTTTGTGCACGTATGCATATTGAACTTCTTTTGCACCGTACGTAGCCAGCCGTGCCAATCGGAGGTGCGCGGGAAAGACAACAAACTAAACACACAAAGCAGTTCTAGAAATAAATTAGTTTTCAGTCTCGATTTAAAAGTGCATAGCTCCATTGGCTTCCTAATATCGAGAGGAAGAGCGTTCCAGACGGCCGCGGAAGCGCATCTGAAAGCGCGCGATGCAGTGACCACCTTTAGTCCAATGGCCAGACAAAATCCGCTGTGAGAATGAGCGGAGTTCACGTGATGGTTCATGCTCCTTGACAAAATCAGCAAGGTTATTGTGACGTAGGTGAAAATAAGAATAAAAATAAAAATACATTTTTTATTCTTCCTATTTTTTATTCTTTTTTTATTCTTATTTTCTACCTACGTGACTTTACCGAAAGAACCAAAGAGTATGGATCCTTGCAGTCACGAAAACTTCAAATCTAGAATTAAGGTTATTGTGGTTCATTTATAGCAATCACATTGTGCGTGACCAGTGCCATCTTATGATGTATTCGTCAGGTGCACGTTTTGCAGTTGCCCCATTCTTATAACACAAGGCTACCAGAAAGGCGTTTTATTTTTTCACAGACAGGTAAAAATCTGCCAATAGTTTGCGAAGTTGCTATCTGGTTTTTACATAATTGTGTTGCGATCGAAACGTCGAAAGTTGTTTTGCTCTTTTCTTTGAACCTATCGACGTGACTTTACCGAAAGACCCAAAGAATATGAATAACTGCAGTCACGAAAGCTTTCATTCAAGATTTAATTCAGTAATCTGCCGATATTTTTTCTAAAATCTGGCAAATTTGGTACCGTGATGCCGACACGTATAGCCTATGCTTTTTTTTCTCGTTAACGCCACAAGATCTTTAACGTGAACTGTGATCAGCTTGTATTTTATAGTTAATACATCTGTAGTATATTAACCGGAGTTGGTACTGGGCTCGCACCATGAAACTCTGCAACCACCGTACTACAGCGAGACCATGCCAGCACTCTTTCCTCTCTCTCATGTTCTGTCAGTACAAACTGAATGTTTTGCTACTCTAAATAGGCAAACATTTAGTCATATATTATAATTTACATAAAGTTTACGTAACTCTAAAAATATCGATTTTTTTAATACACGCGATTCGAAGCTTGTTTTTGTAATTGTAAGCATTTTGGTGGGCGAATCAATGAATCATTATGTGCTGACCGTTACTACCTGTGTGTAATGTTATATAGCGTGCCGTGGTCCCCCAGCTTGGCCGCTTGCTCGGACATCATTCATCGTTATCATCTTGCATTGTGCGCGATTCACATATCGTTTCAAAGCGCATGTCAAAACACAGATCAAATACAGAAATGCGGTCAAAGTAAATGAATACGGTGCCGATCGTGTCGAGGAATGTTCATTTCATGGAACACAAACGGCATTTACTCAAACATTTCATTCATTGCCCCGCACAATGGACTCTTGATTAACTGCACTTCAGTAAACTGGCCGAGTGATCAACCTTTTTCTCGCACAGCTGAGTGTGATTATATATATTTTTATTTAAAATGTTCTACATTTATCACAATTGTATTCCAATGGCACCATCAGAGTCATGTCGTGAGATAAATACATTTCCATTTGTCGAAAGCGGTGTAACCCAACCCCATGATACAGAACAGCCTGTGGAAATTGATATCACAGAATTACTTCTGTGAACCGTTCAATTGCCTCTTATCCACACTCGGCAGTGCGCCTTCTAACACGCCATGCTGCAGGGATGTTCACAAATAGCCGTTAAATTGAACGTGTAATTTTAGTCCTCAAAAGTTTGAATATTTAAATTAAAAATAGAATGGGTAAGAATGATGATAATGATTGAGACTAAGACTACCACCACCTCTGGAAATCCGGTCCGAGAGCTGGACCATCGCACCCTCGGTCCAGATTAAATCTCAACTTCACTCAGCCGACAAATGGTTCCAGTTGGGGCTGAGTGTGTGGCAAAGTGGTGGTGTAGCGGTTTGCGCGCTGCACTACAAACCTCGGCGACCCGAGTTCGATTCCCACTCACGGCCAACACCAGTGACAATTATTTTGAACCGGTCCTGTACCTCCCCTAGGTGGACTCGGCGTTAAATGAGTTCCGGGACCAGTGTGCAAACGCCGGCACAAGGAAGGGAGACAAAGGCGGCCGGGAGTGGTGCAGGCCACCCACCCTCTCGTGTGCCCGTGCCGTCCTTCATAGGTGCTCCCTAACAGCACTTATTCCCACCGTTAAGGCTACACGGGGGATCTTTGTCTTTGTTCCTCGCAGCTCCTCGACTCACTCCCACTTGCCCTTCCACCGTGCACCGCCTTCTTACAACTAGGGCACGGACGTGTGGCTCATCGTTTCCCCTCGGATGACTTTAGCACAGAGCAAGGCCGTAGCCATTGAGTCAACATTGGGTGGGGGTGGGGGGGGACCAAATCTTCTGACACCTAACGTCCAGAAAAAAATTCTAAATTTGAAAACTCATTTCCTGCCTAAAAAAATTCACTAACACATAGGATGGATTTTTTTGTTTTTACAATAATGTCTAATAGTGTATTGTATATATATTCTTGGTTCTTTGGGTAAAGTCACGTAGAAGGGAAACAATAAAATAATAAAAATATAAAACAATAAAATTCTCACGACGTTTCGACTGCAACACAAGCAATCATCATCAGGTGTGAAAACCCCAGCAAGAAAATTTGAAAAAAGTGGCGGTTTTTTTACGTTAGCACCACGGAGAGCGATTTGACATAGGGTCGGGCGCAGAGTGACAGTCTGGATGGCGTCAGTCTCAAATTTCTCCATGAAAATGTTGGCTACAACCGGAGATAGGGGGGAGCCCATAGGGGTGCCCTCAGTTTGTTTGTAGAAAGTTCCATTCCAAGTGAAGTATGTATTGGTCAAGCAGTGTCTTACCAGGGGGGGGGGGGGGGTACCTCAGTGTTCAGTCCTTGATGAACCAAGTCTTCAATGATTGCGATGGTGTCAGGTATAGGAACTTTGGTGAATAAGGAAACTACATCAAAACTGACAAGCAGGTACAACCATAACCACAATCATATAAACAAAAATCTATTTGAAAGCAATATATTGGGGGGGGGGGACATTTTGAGCATGTTTGAATATTGGGGGGATGTGTCCGCCCCCCCCTCCCCCCCAATATATATTATAATTACGGCCTTGGCACAGATAACCCGGGTGGTGGAGGAGAAGGTAGGCTGAGGGTTCGACCACAGGCATCATGGCTGCATCAGATCGACCGTTACTGTTGCGACTTTGGGGATAGGAAGAAGCTCGCTTAGGAACTTTCCCAGGAAGGACCCCTAGGAAGGGGGGTTGCTTGGGGGCTTTGCCGGGTGGGATCATAGGGGTTGACGCCAGAGGATGGATCCCGCTTTGCGTTGACTCGGTAAATGCTTCCACATTTGATTTGACTTGATTGAGGATCTGATTAATTGTTCAAGCTTATTTAGACAGATAGTGACTCGGGAAAAAAACCGGTAGCACCTGGAGAAAAATCCACGCGACCACGGGGAGAACATGCAAACTCCACGACCTCCTGTATACCAGGCGAGGTAGTTAACATCTCGCCACCGCGGCGCCAGAAAAGATTACGAAAATGTAGCCATTTGGGCCGGCGTTACGGTCCAAATAAAAAAAAATACCTTAGAAACTACTAATTTGGGACAATACAGAAATCATCTCCCCGCTCCCCACCCCACTGATTTATAACTGCAAGACCATTCCTGTGAAGCATTGCTCCTTCGTGATATATCCTTGCGCAATGTAAGCAAGGAGCGAATAGCAAATGTTCTCGTGACTTCAATAGATTCTGACACCTAACGATAGTTGGGCGCACGTCAGGAGGGGGACATCGTTGATCGGAGGCAAAACTCAAGGTGGCATTCTGGATTGGAAGTTTGCGTGACTGCAACTGAAGCGATTGTTTCCTGCTGTGGTTGTCCCACCCGATGACGGACGCTTGTGTTGCGCCCGAAACGTCGTGATTAAATTCATTTTTTTTAATACCTACGTGACTTTACCGAAAGAACCGAGGTGGCACACACGTTCGTTCATGAATGGGTTATGGCCTTTTGAGTGGCTCAGAAATGACCGTCCCTGAACTATACGGGTCCTCTCGTATCCCCGGGAGACAACGAGCTCCGTGCTTTATCCCCTCACGCCTTTCAGGTTGCAGAGACGCTGACAGAAACGCTTTCAGGGCCGCTTACAGTGTGCACTGTTGGGCCGAAACAGATGGGCGTCTGTTGAGGTTTGGGTTTTTGTGTGTGTGTGTGTGTGGCACGACTGTACGTGCGGTCACGTTAGGGGAGCGGTGGTGCAGCGGTTTTGCGCAGCCGCGCTACCAACCCGGCGTTCCGGGTTCGATCCCCGCCCACGGCCAACACCGAGTGACGATTGTCCGAACCGGTTCTGGGACTCCCCTAGGTCGACTCAGACTCAAATAAGTACCCGGTGCGGTGTGTCAACAACGCCACGAGGGAGACAAAGGCGGCCGGGCGTGGTGTTGCCCCCCCCCACCCCGCCGTTCCGGTCTTCATAGGTGCTCACTAACAGCACTTTGCTCCAACAGTCTGTTCAGGCTATACGGGAGATCTCTGTCTTTTGGTTATGTGTGGAGGAGTGGTGGCACAGCAGTTAGCGCGCTGCGCGAACCCGTATTCAAATGCCGCCGCTCGCGACCAATAACTGTGGCGAATATTTGTTTTAACCGGTCCCGAGCCTCCCCTTGGTCGACTCAGCCTTAAACGTGTAACCAGAGTGGTGTGCGAACATCCGCATTGGAGGGGTGACAAAGGCGGTCGGGCACGTGCTGTACCGGCCTTTATAGGTGCTCGCTAACAGCACTTGTTCTCAACAGCCTGTTGAAGGCAATTTTTCGAGGAATCGTTGTATTTGTTGCCTATGTGCGGCGGAGTGGTTGTTGTGCCGCTTCCGTATGTAGATAATTGTTTTGGACCGTGGAGCACTCCGTAAGATCGCGAGTAGCAATTGCACAGGTATTTCAGGTCTCCCTGAGGCTTCCCTGAAGGTCCACTCATCGTAAAATGTTGAGCACCTGTTGTGGCGCGTTTACAGGGGGCATGTGACAATCACATCCCCAAGCGATTCCGTAAATTTGCCAAATTTAGGGGGGGGGGGGGGGAACCAAGAAGCAATACGAACAAGAGGTAAAAATCTCGATTTGAAGTTTTCGTGACTGCAGGGATCCATACTCTTTGGTTCTTTCGGTAAAGTCACGTGGTAGGTATAAAGTAACCTCTTACCACGACAACTCTCTCTCTCTTCTACTTCAGCAAAAAAAAATGTCTTGCTGTGGTTTTCCCACCTGATGATGATTGCTTGTGTTGCAATGGAAACGTCGTGGTTTAATTTATTTTATTTTATACCTACGCGACTTTACCGAAAGAGCCAAAGAGTAAAGGCATGAAATATTTGACAAAACAAATCAATTCTTAAATTGCATCGTGACCATGAATCATGAAAATGTATTGAATATCATAGTGTTTGGATTGGGGAGTCGGGGGAGAAGGAGATGAATTGTTACAAGCTTGATTTAAATTATAAAAAAACAATGATCCCTCCTGGGGTAAATTAAACGAGTACCAATTATAACAAATCAAGGGCATTTAGATGCTATATATATCCATATTTTATTATGTTGCCATACAGCAATGGTTAGCATACCGATGGACATGCCATCTCCACTATCAGTGTTTTGACTCACATCTTAAGACTTATTATTTCAACCTACGCTTTCTTAATTACGTGCGAAATGTGTTTTTGAATGCTGTTAACATCCGTATATACGTTTAAAGACATATTTCCCTTTGTAATGTTAAAATATCCCTGCAGTGTTAACCTGATGATATTAACGGTCATCTTCATCTGCACAATATTCAACGTGAAAATGAACAAAAATTCAAACATTAACTGTTGAGACTTTACAATGTCACATGGCAAGGTCGTGTTAAAACAAACTCGCTAAAGTACGCATACGTATTTCCCCGTGTGTTTATACTAATGCTTTATGTTGTTGAAAGGCCCTTTTTTATATAAATTCCCATGCCTTGTCCCATTTTTAGGTGGCAGAACAAATGAAAAAATGCATGCAACGGCACGCAGTGAATATGAAGGTGAGCTGCCTATCGATGAGATAAACACGAACAACTGTATCGGCACAGCACTTTCTGATGCTGTCACACTTAAATGCCGTATACATCAGCATCCGGCCAGCGGGGAAGAGTAGGCCAAGTACCCTCTTAGAGGGGCTCTCCTGAGCCTCCCCCTAATAGAAGACCTTCCGCCAGCAGTGGGGTGAGGACCTAGTTCACTAGAATTTGCTAGAACTGAAACCACTGGGTGATTTGTCCATGGACATATAAGTACAGGCCTTTTCGACTGCTGGATGAGGACCTCCCCACACGTTGTGGGTCTACGGGTGTTATTCTAACGGAGTCTATACTATGCTGGTCAGTTGCTGGTTGGGCGAAGGCAGAGAGCATAGACGTGGGAGCATAGTGCAGTACAACAACATACTTTTCTGCACTGCCTTCTATTGCTAGCAACGTTGCCCCATTGCAGTCTATAACAGCTGTTTTATGCGTGGTGGTCACGAGTAGTGAACAAAGCTAAATGTTTTGGAAGGGCTAACTCATTTCGGGCATAAAAATTTATTGCATGTAAATTAAGCTTTGCTTGTTTTTTGTTTGTTTGTTCGTTATCTGAAAACGAAATAAACATCAAACATCATGAATTTACTAACAAAAAAATTAACATTCGTGAAAAAAATCTCAAAAAAAGTTCATCATATGCACCGGTCCATCTAAAGAAATAAATGTCACCGCTCTGGTCGGTGCAGGATGGTGAAGGGGAAACATCCACGATCGGTTCAGGGCATCAATCACGACTGACGTCCACCATGGCCACGAATCGAACTCAGGACAGTCTGGTTCATAGGGCAGTGCGCGAACCACTGTACCGTCACTTTCGATCACTGGTTCCGTGTGATTGAGATTTTCCTGGCCATGTAAAAGCAGCAGGGTAATGCGAATGGGTTCTGACGTGATTAATGTAATGTCCTGTGTTTATCATTACACAGTCGGCAGAATGAACGGGAAAATATATTCAACAACAAGAAGTGCTCACGAAGGTGAGTTGCTTTCACGTCATTCAAAGCAGGAGTGGGAAACATTTTCAAACAGTACATTCACATTAATTATTGTTGTTTCGCTGCCTTGCCCGAGCTTGCATTTGATCTTTAAAAATCTGCAATGTGTACGACCATGCTATAGTCTATATTTGCATTTACTTTCTTAAATGTTCTCTACCTTACTAACTGTATATTTTCGTGTTATTTTTTGTTGTTGGCGTAACTTGCCGCCCCAGCCCTTCCGGACATCTGTGCAAAAAGAGCTTCAACGCCCATCGATATTCTTCCAGTAGCAAAACAAAGATTCTGATTCTTTTTGGCCATCCACACACGAGGACACACCTGAGGCGTTATTCAATAACAAAGCACGACAACATAATTCGGGTTCACCCTCGGCCGCATGCATGAGTGAAATGCCCGGGCCCTGTATTTTTCTCATTAACGTCAGGGTCAAAGTTCTGCAGAAGACACACAGCGAAGATCCTTGCAGTGATGGACATAAATATCGTACACAGCATGAGGCTGTGTGCGATATTTCGTTTGAGTTGCACAGTTGCCGACCCAAAGGTCCAAAATGTCAAGCGACCAGCAATAAACAACACAATTAGCAAAGCTGTAGCCGATAAGAGATTGCACGATTGCTGAATAAGGGCTTAGGAAAAGAGATGTTGGAAGGGAAGAGGCATAAAGAGACGTATTTAGATCTGGCCACACCTGAGTTCCATTCTCTGCCGTGGTAAGTAGCATATAAACCGGTCTGGGCTCCTAGTTCACCAACTCAGACGGTCCAGTGTGGTGAAGTATCGTCAAACAACCTCATGACCAATGTGTGGGAAAGCCTTCATCTAGCAGTGGATTCATAAGTGGCATAAACTAAATCATTAATTTAAAATTTTCATCATATAATTGAAAGCGCAACAAAGGGATATCTGCCATACATTGTGACGTCCAATGTGCTTTTGACTTTTTTGGTCATGGACACAATATATTCATGCAGATTTTTCAATTGAACAGGTGCAAGAACTCATGGAAAAATGCATTCAACGTCACGACGCCCTTATGAAGGTGGGTTGTGTCGAGATTGATGTGAACAGTAATAAAAACAATCTGTTATAACATCAACCAGCAACATTCCCTAGGCGATGCAGGTATCCATATACAATTCAAATATGCTGTACAATTGATAAGCCTCAGTGGGTCAATATAATTGAATTATTTTAAATTTCACGTGTCGGATATGTCAACTGTGGTCGTGATATGAATGGATTGGCCCCCTTCCATAAGAAAGCAGAACTTAAACCCCTGGCTTAGATGAAATAACTAATTGAAGCGGGGCAACAGAGGAATGATTTATATACGAAGTATGTTATTGGTTCCTGGAAATCCTCACATCAAGGTTAATGAAATCCTGTGGCTGTTTTAATCACACCTCCGATTAGCACGGTTGGCTACGTACGGTGCGAAAGAAGTTCAACATAGTACATACATATTCTACTCTCAAAGCTACAATCCAAAATTGTCGACAATGCAATCGCTATGAGTGTACCAGATGTCAGTAGCTATGCATACCTGAGCCTGGCTAGTACTTGGATGGGAGTGTGTACGGGAAATACCAGGTTGTAGTCGATTTGAGCTGCAAGGTGAGAGCAACAGGTCCTGTTTTTTTCCCCTCTCGATTCATTAAAATCTGCTTGTAATTAACGAGTTGGATTCTGGCTACAGCTGCCTGACAATGTGTAAGAGAGAGCTATTTATTTTAAGCTGAATGCTAAAGGTTATCTGCTGTCGGCTTTCACGTGAGTAGGGAATTATGTGGCACTTGTATCATCACTTGAATCTTAAAATGGCCCGTGTATAGTAATGTAAAATAAAGCCAGATTTATCAAAATCTATCTTACTGAAGACAATACATTATCATGTAATTAATTGCACATGTACAGCTATATATACATCATTAGACCTCCTTTGCCAGTACCAAAATATAATAATAGGGTTTTCCCCCTTTTCACGCCTTTTGGCGTCATCTGGTCGAGCACCAATTGGGTCGAGGCTCAAAAGAAAGCCGTCCCTTGGTGTGGACCAATCAGTTTCAAGGACAATGCATATATTATCATAGCATGTTTTTTGTTTGCAATTTGACTGCAGGTATTGTGGTTAATGCAGAAATGAATCCTTGTAAAAGGTTTCAATTTTGTTGCCAGAAAAAAGGGGAAAAACCCTATTATATATACATGTTGAACTTCTTTCGCATCTGCAGTTTGGAGTCATGACTTTAATTGATAATAACATTTTATTTTTATTGTATTATGTGTCTGGTACGTTCCGTCTTGTTTCATTATCCTTGGGGTAGATTACCGTATCATAATCATCATCAGCAATGACGAATCCACTGCTGGATGAGGGCCTTGCTAAAGAAACGTCGCCATCACTCACGATCCTCTGACACAATAAACCACCTAGTGCTAAAATTCATCACTCCTCATCATGGGAATTTTGTCTTAAATAATTGAATATTTGTATGTAAATTATATGATCATCTCAGAACTTTGAGAGCGAGAGTCAGCAAATAATCATGAGTAATACATTCATCAGTCACTTGCAAATATGCAGAAATGCACACATTTTTTGCAAAATTTCGACATTAATCTGGCCCAAAGATGTTCACATTTACTCAATAGTTGCTCAACATTAAGGTTGCCAGTGGCGCCGGGCCCACTAAACAAATAAGTCCATAATACAGGTATTAGTTTGGGTTAAATTGCGTAAACATATGGACGTGTCGTTAAACCCGCCACCACCCGGTAAAGGCAATTAGTGAGGTTTGTCACGAAAAGAGAACGTGCCAATTCGTTACTAGTACAGCACACCGGTGTGTTGGAGAGCAAAGCCACAACATTTATAATCTGAGTACGACTTTTCGCAAGTAATTGCAACTAGCTTCATCAGGCGACAGCCAGATTTGTGTTAAACAAAAAAATATGCAATTACTTGCTCCTTGTCCCCACTCCACCTCCATCCGCACCACCCTCTGCCCTTCCCTCACCCGCTTCGGAATTCCATTTACCAGCAACATATGCATCCACCGGCCGCCACTGCCTCTAACTCTCCCCCACCCTCTTTCCCAGCCACATTTGGGCCCAGGCTACGTCTCTCGGGGAGCCTGGGAGACTCATCTGTGTCGACCGAGTCAGACCGCTGCCGGGGCCGCGTGGAGGTGCTCTACGGCGGCACGTGGGGCACGGTGTGCGACGACGGCTGGGACCTGCTGGCGGCCGGCGTGGCGTGTGCGTGGCTCGGCTGCGGGGAGGCCCTGGCGGCGCCCGGGGCGGCCCACTTTGGCCGCGGCCGGGGCCCCGTGCACCTGGACAACGTGCGGTGCGAGGGGGACGAGAGCGCCCTCTGGGAGTGCGCGCACGCCGGCTGGGGAGACCACAACTGCGGGCATCACGAGGACGCCGGCATCGTCTGTCAGGGTGAGTGCTGCCGGGTAACGTTGTTGAGTGGCGCGCAGGTTGGCGCGACTGCACCGGGGGGGGCCCTTGGGCTGGAGGGGTCCAGAAGCTGGGCTGTGAAGAGTGGGGACAGCCGACTCCGCTTGAATTGCTGCAGCGGGGTGCACTCTGGCGTCGTCTATCAGGGTGGTCACCAGTGGCATAGCTAACCGTGCTATAGCCCTTGGTGAAACTGGGCGTGGATGGGCAAGGGTGTGACGTGATTTGCTGGGAGATGATGCATTGTGGAGGTAGCATGACAGGCGCTTAGTGGTGGGTGGCAGCTCCCCTGTGACAATCATGTGTGTGTGTGTATGTTGAACTTGGTTTGCACCGTATGTAGCCAACCGTGCAAATCAGAGGTGCGATTAGCATCCCCCCCACCTCTCTGAGGTAAATGCTGGTTGGCCAGAGCACAGCAATCTGGCACGTTGATGAGCACAGGTGATGCATTAGCCAATCCAATCACCCTAATCAGTTAACTTATAAGCCTCATCGCTGCCGAAAACATACGGAACATGATGTGTAAATAATGACCCATCTTCATAGAAGGGCCATTGCCTGAAACATCACCTATATCATATATATTTAGTCTTTTGAGGACAAGTGTTCGTAAACAAATGTGTTGAATTTTGATTTAAAGCTTTCGTAACTGCAGGGATTCATATTCTTGGTTCTTTCGGTAAAGTCACGTAGAAGGGAAAATTTGTTTCAAATTTTCTTGCTGTGGTTTTCACACCTGATGATGATTGCTTGTGTTGCAGTCGAAACGTCGTGATAATTTTATTGTTTTATATATGTATTATTTTATTGTTTCCCTTCTACGTGACTTTACCGAAATAACCAAGAATATAAATGTGTTGAACTTCAGTTTTCAGGACAGCCATCTTGGTTTCCAGTCTGGCTATTGGGCCCACTAAAAACTGATTGATGTAAATGCGACCCTGTCTGTGTTTAGGGGCCTTTCCAACCACGACGATGCGGCCGACTGTACAGCCGGTCTCCGAGTTCCCGAAAGGTAATTGCGAAAGTGAAACTGTACAGCTTTTCATGATAATCATTTTTCGCCATATTTGTTTTTTTACTTGCCTAGGAAAGCTTCGATGAGTTCTCAAGGCTACGTGGTAGTAGTTTTATACCGAAATTATTGTCATTAACCCTCCACCACGAGACAAATTTGTTACGTTGACAAATGTATCATTTATATTTGGCCATCGATCGGATTTCTGATCAATAAAGATCACTGGTCGCTTAAAGATGTTTCAAGACTGAATTCAACATCATCATATGACAACCTTTCGCTCAAACTGCTTTGAGCTTCGTCTGGCAGTATACTCGGAAACCGAGTACACCCAGTACACTGCACAGGCTTTTACTTACAAGTGAGAAAGATGTATTTATTTTAAAGCACCACAGTGGAACGAATTCCCCTTGTAAGCAAGAAGAGTTGATTTATCTGATTCTCTCAAACAAAGCCACGTGTGGTGGTGCATCCCTCATGCAACACGGTTTGACGGATCACGAACATTTGTGAATTTCGATTTAAAGCTTTCGTGACTGCAAGGATTCATCTTCTTTGGTTCTTTCGGTAAAGTCACGTAGAATGAGAATAAAATAATAAATTGATAAAATTAAATAACACAATAAAATTCTCACGGCGTTTCGGCCACAACACAAGCGGCCTTCATCAGGTGAAGGGACGAGACTGTCTGGAGGACAGCGCTGGAGCGAAAAAGCCACGCTCTGATCACGACCTTTAAGCTGTGTGAGAAGAAACAAAGCGCCTTGACAAAGGAATTAGCATAGAATTTAGCATTGAAATAGCTGAGTCATTAGCTTGTGACTGGTCACAGAAATAGCTATGTTAAAGTCAGAGCATACACATTCACAGAGGCACCTAGTACTAGGTGCCTCTGTGCTCTGACTTTAACATAGCTATTTCTGTGACCAGTCACAAGCTAATCACTCAGCTATTTCAATGCTAAATTCTATGCTAATTCCTTTGTCAAGGGGTGCCTCTGTGGATGTGTATGCTTTAACTTTAACATAGCCATTTCTGTGACCAGTCACAAGCTAATCACTCAGCTATTTCAATGCTAAATTCTATGCTAATTCCTTTGTCAAGGCGCTTTGTTTCTTCTCACACAGCTTAAAGGTCGCGATCTGAGCGTGGCTTTTTCGCTCCAGTGCTGTCCTCCAGACAGTCTCGTCCCTTCACCTGATGAAGGCCGCTTGTGTTGTGGCCGAAACGTCGTGAGAATTTTATTGTGTTATTTTATTTTATCAATTTATTATTTTATTCTCATTCTACGTGACTTTACCGAAAGACCCAAAGAAGATTTGTGAATTTCCCACACCTTCTGGACTGTAACGTGGCCAGGAAATTCTTGTACAGCACGTGAGTTCGTGAACCCTACTGCGCAGGCATCTTGAGTGAGTTTTCTAGGGGTGCTCTGATTCCTGCCCGCGCAAAACAAAAGTTTCCTTAAAATCAATTTGGACAGATATTGCATTGCAGGATCACACTTAAAAGCACCATTGAGGCTCAGTCTGGCTTTCCTGGATGCACAGGGGGCTGTCCATAAATGACGTCACGCACCGAGGAGTGGGGGGGGTCAGACATTTGTGACGATGTGTGACGAGGGGGGAGGGTTGAGAAATGTGACGTCACATCAAAATGCGCAACTTTATATAAATATAGACAACACGTTCTACTTTATTAAATAGACTTTTTAATACATGTTTTCTCCTACAACATCAGAGTGCAGCGCCACATTAAATACGCACTACAATGACAATAGTATAAAGCGATATGAAGCATGTGTTTTTTTTGGGGGGGGGGGGTGGGGGGCATAACTTTGTGATGTCATATTTGAGGGGGGGGGGGGGTCTGACTTTTTGTGACGCCGTGTGACGAAGGTGGGGGGGGGTCAAAAATCGTCCAAAATCGCGTGACGTCATTTATGGCCGGCCCCCAATGACAATCATAATCAGAGAAGCTGAACATATATTTGTCAACCTGCGTGGTCGACTTTTGGGGTTATGTGAAAAATAACATGCCCATGGCATTAGCTAGCCTACAAATATGCTGAAATTGATACATTGCTCACGAATGACATATTTGGGAAAAGCCACATAAAGCAACATTGCCCCCTACTGGCATACGAATGCCGACTTGCACGCGAGTGTTGCATTCACCTTGTGCCACCACCACCACCACCAGGAGTCCCCTTTGGCTCGACCGCCACAGGGTGCCCCGAGATGTTGCTGCACGGGCGACGCGGTATACATAACAACTGAGGATAATGATACCAAATCATCTCGACGAGTGATCCCGAGCCCTCATCACCTTGAATTTTTCTCACTCCCTCTTGCCTTGTGAATCATCTCCCCCCACCACCCCCCCCGCCTCCCGACCCCTCGGTGGGTGGCACACGCAATTAAGGGCTCAAGCTGCTGCGCTTGGCGTGGGGCTCGGAGCCTGGACTGCGCCCCCCGCCACGCTGCCAGGGCCGCGTGGAGGTGCTTTACGAGAGCGAGTGGGGCACGGTGTGCGACGACGAATGGGACATGCTGGAGGCCGGCGTGGCGTGTGCGTGGCTCGGCTGCGGGGAGGCCCTGGCGGCGCCCGGGGCGGCCCACTTTGGCCGCGGCCGGGGCCCCGTGCACCTGGACAACGTGCACTGCCGTGGGGACGAGAGCGCCCTCTGGGACTGCGAGCACGCCGGCTGGGGAGACCACAACTGCGGGCACCACGAGGACGCCGGCATCGTCTGTCAGGGTGAGCTGTCCGGGGTGATGGATGGGCGTGTATCTGTGTTAGCGCCAGGTAAGTAGCGTGGTGGAGTTGGCATGGGCTCTGGTGCAAGGAATCCAATGGCACCCTTTAAAATATCCCCCAACGTTGTAGCCCCCTGTCTCGGCTCCGTCTGGCCCCGCGACCCCGGTGCAGTTCCGCTGGCTGCACTCTCGATAGCGATGCCACTGGGTTGAGGCTCATTGTATGATGTGTCAGGGTGAGGTTTGGGGTGAGGTGTATCGGGGGTGTGGTGTGTCAGAGTGAGAGTGTGAGTGAGGTGTGTCAGGGTGAGGCTTAGGGTGAGATGTACCAGGGTGTGGCTAAGGGGGTGTAACGTGTCAGGGAAAAGGAAGGGGCATTGGTAAGCATTAGGCAAATAGCGATGCATTGATATAATTGGATAAAACCGATTATTACACTCACAATACATCATAGTGACTGTTTAAGAGTCAATCACTATAATGATATGGAAATGCTGCAGTTAGGCTAATGCGGAAAAGGAAAAACAAGATACTTCATTGCAAACAAGATCGTAAAACATTTGTATTAAAAAAATAAGTTATTGATCAAATAACCACCCAAAATTGTAACAATTAATCGAATCACTGGCAAGGGTTTGGGGGTGAATTCTAAGAGGCCAATAATAACCACCCGATGACCTCTGCTCTGTGCATTTGCAATGTTTAACTTAAACATATAAAGACATGTTAAATCGACGTGAAACCTAACTTTGTGGCCATTCTTGGCATTGTGTGTGTCATTGTCTTTGTCTCTGTAGGGGCCTTCCTCACTACGCTGGCCCCGACTACCCCTACTCACCCTCCGACAATGAGTTCGTCCATCCATGACTCCTCCAATGTCACTTCCGGTGAGGCCTTGCAGTTCTATCGCATTCGGTTATTCAAAGGAATTAGTTTCACGATTGCTATTACAAACAGTGAAAGGGGTCAAAGTGTCTTCATTCATTCTGGATTTTCTAAAAGGCAGAAGTACGATTCTTTTTTAACGTAATACTCATTGACGATATCTGGATTCTCCCGCTTTTCATCGGCTTTAGCATCATATTCCACCGGAGGTGAATTACATGGTTCATTGATGATGGGGATGGTGTTGTTTTAGGCATTTAGCGTGATACTTAAAGTCTGTTATAACTTCACGCTTCGCTTACCCTATAAGTAAAACCAATTAAACTCGGGGATGTAATTTTGGAGCTGAACTTCTAAAATTTGGGATTTTAGATTGTCTTAATTGTGTCCATGGAGTTACAACATATTTGTGCTAAATATTGAGACATCCAGCCTTCCATAAACCATTATAATATATACCAGTAATAATTGCATATATGTTTTACAGTTCTTCAAATATGTTTCGGAATTTCACATACTACTTAATATTTGTCTTCATTTCTACGATTTTTTTGGTTATATCATCTCTTTCGTTGTTATGTTTGCACATTGGGATCTGTTACCCATCATACTGGACCCTATAGACCGGAGTTTCCTCTCTGGCTGCCTGCGAGCCCCATCCGGCCGGCACGAAGGCTTGTTGAGAGATGCGAATTGAGACATGCAGACGAGTGACATGAGAGATAAGAGGCAGAGATGAGAGAGCTGGAGACAACTGATACAGATTAGTGGTCAAGTGTACATATGTTATGACATCACGTGGCTCACCAGCACAAGGGAAATGTAATTGTATTACGTGGCCCTCCAGAAAATGGTGCTGAAGAACGTTGCCCTAGACCAGACATGGGCAAAGTACACCCGTTGGACTTTTTAATCCGGCCCGCCGAACTTGTCCAAATATTATTAAATTAAATTTTACCTTTCTCCTGTAATGCCCCCCATTTCCCCCATTAGATCGCGCACTTTGACCGGGAGTTACGACATGCTTTTGTGTCGTTCACGTTCGTGCAATCTGTTAAATTGCCTTGCAAATAAACGCTTTGCTACCTGTTAAAGGCCAAATGCTTTCACGTTAGGATTTTTAACACACCATTTATATTTAGTTCACACAAACGCTCCATCCGTCTGTTCCTGGCCCGGCCCCTCTGTCAAATTTTAGAACCCATTGTGGCCCGCGAGTCCAAAAATTTGCCCACCCATGCCCTGGACAGTGCTTCTTAGCAAGCTAGCTATGCAGATGAGCAATTAGTTGTCTCTTGGCCTTGTTACAATATTGGTGAGAGGCTAGAGCCTCAGTGGTGGGCAACTTGCGGCCCATGGACTGCTATACTGTTTATTACGATATATCCCACTGCTCAATCAAGTCGCTTTATTAATATTCTTGGTTCTTTCGGTAAAGTAACGCAGAAGGGAAACAATAAAATAATAAAAAAACAATAAAATTCTCACGACGTTTCGACTGCATAAGTGTAAATAATACCAATTGTGAATACGTTTTTTGTACAATATTATATTTCTCACCATTTTTTTAAACACGTAGTGTTCTTTTTTTGTGCTTTTCTTACTTAGTTTGATTGACATAGTATTCTATTGTGCTCTTTTTCTGCCTACTTATTGCCTTTATTGAATATGTTTTTTGTTAATTTGCATTTTTTTAGCCAATGGAAGTGACGCCACTGCAGAGGTGACACCATCAACAAGCCTGCACAACCAAGGTGAGTGTCATGCATTTCAGGATAACGTTGATGTTCACTAAGGGTGCGTCAAATATTTGGCCATATGCTGTGCTTGTATCGTTTATTTATCTGTTGCGTTACTTATATTGTCCACAACGACACTCATGATTATTTCGTGGGCTTTGGGGCAGTGTGGGGGGAGTACAGTGGTTAACGCATTGCACCATGAACCTTGCAACCCGAGTTCGATTCCTGACTATGTTTTACCTTTAGTGACTGAAAGTTGAGGTGCATGGCCAGGCATTGAGGGTGGGCGATCAGGACGCAAAGCAAAACGAGGCGTCAAAAAACATTAAAGAGTGAGGGATGTCGCACAGACAATTATTCTGGAAAGTACCATCTCCTGGACTGTCATCTGGTCGGAGTGTCTCTCAGTTATTCATCAGTAAATTACAAAGGCACAACTCTCCTCCCACCTCTAAAACTCCCTGGCGGCCCCCAGAGGATTATTTTATAAATTAATTATTCGACCAGGGTGCCAATTCTGTTACGGCGGCCACAGCCCTTCTCACCCCCCCTCCCCTCTCCTCTTTGTGTAACATTCATAATCAGAATCTGTATTTAAGACTGCAGGAGGAATCCGATGAGCTATGAAGCTCTTTTTCACAGATGTCCAGTATGGGCGGGTCAGCGAGTTACAGCAGCAAACAATACAAAACAACATATGAGTGTAAAATAAGTGAAATGAGGTAAGCAAGTCACTAAATATAAATAAAGTCATTATATAAGTCCGATTTATCATGCTTGAGTAAGGCAGCAAAAACAACAAAACATTCCCAGATCACACCAAGATAACGCCACAAAGCGGTAGTCCCTCAATAACATGGCATGTTAACATTGAACTATCGATACACAAGTAAGGATCAAAGTTACATACCACATTTGCGAATGTGCCTGTATCCAGCAGTGTTCTTCTGCCCCACGATATATTTTTTCTACGGAAGAGTTACGATAATAATAGGGTTTTTTCCCCTTTCTTCTGGCAACAAAACTGAAACCTTCTTACAAGGATTCATGTCTGCATTAACCACAATAGCTGCAGTCAAAATGCAAACAAAAAAACATACTATTATAATATGATGCATTGTCCTTGAAACTGATTGGTCCACACCAAGGGACGGCTTTCTTTTGAGCCTCGACCCAATTGGTGCTCGACCAGATGACACCAAAAGGCGCACCTTTTGGTGTCATCTGGTCGGAGGTCTAATGAAAGAGTTACGATGTTTAGGGAGGAAACAGGGTTGTTGCCAAACCGTCGGTGCTGCAACGGCAAAGGCGCTATTACCTCTTCCAATTCATGTTCTGCGGATATTTAAACGGCAAATAGGTGGAGGCCTTAGGTTTCTTATGGTTGACAATGGGGATCATGAATTAGCTCAGTATAGTGCAGATTTGCCAATAAGGATTTTATGGATGAACAGGGCCCAATGGAGGTCAAGTGGCGTTATGCTTTAGCAAGGCATGGTTTTTATTATTATTATGGGATATGGCAACCACTATGGTAGAATAGAGATAAGTGTGGGTATAAATAAAATGGTATTTGAGGCATGAGTGATATTGGTATTACAGTATGGATCAGAGAGTTGAACTCGATGCAGTCTGAAATTGTTGGCATTTGAGGACAAGTGTCTGTGACAGATGCTGATAATTTCATGGCAAGATATGATAAGCAATGCGGAAGTCCAGAAGAGAACGTGACAGGTAAGTGTTGTAGATATGATTAGGAAGAAACAATAGTGATGGGTGGGACATTTATGGAGGATGGGGGAAGGCCGGTTACCAATACAGGCATTGGGGTGGTCTCTAAAACTTTAATGACTAAGGGTAAAACCCAAACAACAGACAGTGGTATACTCTGAGGACAGATCTTGGAGTTGTTGCGTCTACTGTGCAACAATTATAGGATCTGAGGCTAGAAAGCATTGGTGAGGTGCGGCGGCATCAGCGGCTGTGGTGTTCGACGATACCATGACCCACTCTATCTTCATCCCCGTACGCCACCGCCAGACGTTCCCACGCGGCTCGTGGGCGGTGCAAGCCCGTGCGAGGGCCGCGTGGAGCTGTCCGTGGCCGAGGGGCAGTGGGCTACGGTGTGCGACGACGTGTGGGACCTGGCAGACGCAAGGGTCGCTTGCCGCTCAGTGGGCTGCGGCCCAGCGCTTGCCGCGCCGGGCTCGGCGGTCTTTGGCCGCGGTCGGGGGCCCATCGCTCTCGACAACGTGGAGTGCGTCGGCACGGAGGCGAACCTGGGCCACTGCGCGCATGCCGGCTGGGGCGTACACAACTGCGGGCACGGCGAGGACGCGGGCGCCGTGTGTGCAGGCACGTCTCCGACACGCAAGGATTTAAACGAATAAAGATAAATTCCATTTGAATATTGTGTTGTGCCCTCCTAAACTGGGTTTTTTTCTGGGTACTCTGGTTTTCTCTTGGATACCAAACACGCATTAACGCTTTTCCGTGGATGAGTTTTTCATCCGATACCATTACAATGACGTACGTGTACATCATCAAAGCAAAACCGGAGGAAAAAAATAAAAAAAGTAACTTCATCGGTGGCACATTTTGGCACCAGCTATCATAGAGCGCAGTCCTGTCGCTACATTGTTCTGCGGTGAGTACAATGTCTTTAAAAACAATTGTGCTATGCCTCTCTAAATAAAATTAACGATGAGCTGCTTGCGCGTTCCAATATTCAGAGGTAAACGGGACCCACCCTGCAATTTCCAGACATCTTGGAATAGGAAAGGGTGAATGGGATTGATCAAGCATCTCAATGCAGATTCGCCTTTAAAAAGTATGCAGACTCAATGAGACTTTCTTGCATAAAGCGAATTATTAAAATGTAAATAAATTTGCTTGCTCGCAGCCAAAATATTAATTGTCGACTTTTTGTTGTTGTAATTGTCCCCCAGTTTTAGATTTTGCTATTGGCAGCATGCAATTATGTGGAATATCTATTCAGATCTCTCACAGAGCTTTGCAAAGTTTTCGTGTAACAGAATGGCCCAAGGAAGTGGATATCACAGAGACACCTCTGAGCTCCCTTGAAGTGACCTCTGGGTCACATGATAGAGGACAGCACTTTCCATATGTCCTGTCAAGGAGAGTATTGTTCATAACGGGATTTTCTTAACCAATTTCTATTTCAAAACTTTTAATTTAGCCGAACGAAGGACATCACCAAATTGAATGTGATGTTTTTTGCATTTATGACTGGGCTGAGACCATCACCTCCCCATATTAGAGAATTTGGTTGAATCACAAATAGCTTCCTGAATATGAACTCAGGATCTCAGCATTTTCAGCCCAGCTCTCAGATGTCTGAGTGGGCTGGGCACCTCTAGAGACTTAAAAATAATACAAAAAAACTAATACATCATTGCGAATTATCCCGACTTCAGAAAACCAACGGCAACAAAACTGAGAATAAAATTAAACGCAATTTCACGTGCAGGCAAGATTATAAATAACTAAATAAAACAGTGGAATACTATGGTTATTGCAAAGCAATGTTAAGAAAACTGGTAGAAAATGTGAAGAAGTATTGTAATGAGAATATTGTTAGATTTAACTGTTGGGAAAGATATGTATCTTCTTTGGTTCTTTCGGTAAAGTCACGTAGAATGAGAATAAAATAAGATGAATCATTGCAGTCACGAAAGCTTTAAATCGAAAGATATGTATGTTGAACTTCTTTTGCACCGTACGTAGCCAACCGTGCTAATTGGAGGTGCGGGGGAAGGACAACAAACTAAAAACAAAAATCTGTTCTAAAAATAGTTTTCCATTGAGATTTCAAAGCGCATAGCTCCAGTGGCTTAGTAATTTCAGAAGTAAAAGCGTTCCAGACGGCCACAGACGCGCATCTAAAAGTGTGCGATGCAGTGACCGTCTTTGTTTGATGGTTAGCCAAAAGCCACTGTGAGGATGACTGGCGTTTGAGTGATGGTTTATGCTTCTTGAGATCAGCAAGGTATTGTGGTTAATATGTGGCAAGCGCTTTGTGTGGAATGAGTGCGACCTTGTAATGTCTTGATGCAGCAACCGGAAGCCAATGCAGCTCAGCGAGCAGCGGACAGACGTGGTCGGATCTTGCAAAATACAGACTCGATTGATATGTATGTAAATCCAGAGTCAGGAAATGCAGTGGGCAAAAGAACGTCCAATTTTAGTGCACTAAAAAGCGGTTAAAATTGTACTGAATGTGTAGCAGAGTGTTAAATGAAAAAAAAAACTGATACCACATTTATGACAAATAGTGTGAAGGACATCCCGGATTTGGATTGATGGAGCATCTAAATGTGACCGCATTGCAAGGTGATGTACAACTAGAATACTGATGTAAAAATCTGATCCGGAAAGCCATATAGCCTGTTGGACTAATATGTACTCTTTGTGAAAGTGAGCAATCAGGCCCAGCACTTGAGTTGATTTTCAACAAATCTACCGTTGGAAATCCCGGCTGAGGACAAGTTACTTGTGAACAAGGGCTGGCACGCTTCCGAGAGTCCACGGAAACGTAGCAAAGATACAACACTGGACATCGTTGATGACTGGGATGGGCCGTGAGCCGAAATTGCAGTGAACCGTGCGATTTAGTTTTCGACCCGCAGGTGCCGTCGCAAGCAAGCGCCATCTTTTCCTTGCAAAACTGAAGCCATTGTTGTTCCTCCTTTGCAGGGCCGGGGAGCGACACGACTTACGCGAGCCCTCTGGAGTTGTCCAGCGCGGGGACGGCGCGTTTCTCCTGGGTGGACACCCCTCGTGAGTGGCCGCACGTCACATCTCTCAAATGTGATGTTAGGGTGGCGGCCGCCGGGTGGCTCGGACGTTAGGGGACTCCGGCTGGACACTGCTGGAGCGCCTGGGTTCGAATCCAGGCAAACCGCCTGCGATTTATCCGGGGTTCTCTCGTCTAGTAAGATGGCGTTCATCTGGACAACCAGCAACTGCGCAAAAAATATCAAAATAAAACTAAACTATTTTTCGATTTAAAGCTTTCGTGACTGCAAGGATTTATCTTCTTTGGTTCTTTCGGTAAAGTCACGTAGAATGAGAATAAAATAATAAATTGATAAAATAACACAATAAAATTCTCACGACGTTTCGGCCACAACACAGCGCTCCAGCGCTGTCCTCCAGACAGTCTCGTCCCTTCACCTGATGAAGGCTGCTTGTGTTGTGGCCGAAACGTCGTGAGAATTTTATTGTGTTATTTTATTTTATCAATTTATTATTTTATTCTCATTCTACGTGACTTTACCGAAAGAACCAAAGAAGATAAACTATTTTTTTTATATTCCCAGGTAAGGTCCGCTGGTCCATAATAGCTCTTTTTCAGAGCCGAGCTAGTCACACATGATAGCTCAGCGAAGTGGCTTATCACGTGGAAATGTATCGCAGCCAAATTACTCTGAAACACGTGATGTTGATTCTATATGGAGGGAAAAAACGGGAGGATCCGGAGAAAAATCCACGCGACCATGGGAAGAAAGACTTGCAAACTACAATTATACAAGTGTAGTGACTGACTTGGAGACGTAACTTCTCAGAGGCAATTCTTTAATTTAACACCGAGCACACTTTGTACACTTTATGCAATACACACCCTACACTGTTACACACTCTCTGTCTCTCGCTTATATGCAACTCTACACTTGGTTGCTAACCTACACATAGCGCTAGCCGTCTGACACTGACGGCGCTGAACCGAGACAGCCAACTACCGTCTAGCAGCGCAATATCAAGTGACGCTCGGGGTCCCCTTGATCCTGCAAGCGTGGCCACGCTCCGCCCTGGCCACGCCCCCCTTCTGGAACCTACTAGCGGGCTCTCGACGTGTCCCTTCCGTAACCTTTACCCTCGATCCCTCTCGGGTCTGTCACGTGGCCTGCTGTCAGGGCTGCTTCACTCTACAGATCCACTTCCCTGCCAGCAGCCAGCGCTATGTTGCTTAGTGACCAATTCCAGGTCACTACACAAGTGTCAGGGTTGGGGTCGAACCCACGATCTCCAGCGAGGTAGTTAATATCTCGCCAGCGTAGCGCATGTAACAGCTCATCTCCCTCCTTCCCACTGATTGGAAAAAAAAGTATTACGTTTCAGGGTTGCAATTCCATATTGAATTTGATATTCAAGAAGTTTATTCCTTTTGTCTTGCTTGTTGTTTCATCGAAAAAGTATGTCCTGTTTGTACATTCTCACGTGTACTGTTCATGTTATCTAATTTGTATCTTCTCACTTGTCAGTACTGTTTGTCTCATTTGCTGTAGATTGTCTAGATTTTCCTGTTGTCACTACTCACCCAAATGTTTCGTCCAATTGTTACCCTCTCTTGAGCTACTCTTTGTCTAATGTATTCTGTTTCATTAATTTCATCCATTAACCTACAGGAATAGCTTGTATACATTTTTCATGAATCAAAATAATCATGCCCAATTCGATGCATGTATAATGAACATGCATAATAATTCGATTGTTGCATCATTCGTGCCTATTCATTTAAAAGGGACGGAACGATGCCTATTATATTGTCCTTCCCCAGCACCTCCGATTAGCATGGTTGGTTTTGTACAGTGCGAAAGAAGTTCAACATACAGGCATACTTAATAAAAAAAAATATATTTGCTAGAGCAAATTACTATCACTAATATCGCTTTAATGTGTGTAATTGCAATCCAAATGCCACCTCTCTGTGCAACTCTGTTGTCCTCACAGCCTCCCTTCTGCCCCTCATGCGACTTGTGGGAGAGGTGGAACCCTCGCCCAACAACTCTACCCGCCTACCACCGCTGCCACCGATGTTGTCCTCCACCAACGTCCGCCGCTGCCAAGGCCGCATCGAGCTCTTCCTCATGGGCACTTGGGGCACCGTGTGTGACGACGCGTGGGACCTGACAGCGGCCAGTGTGGCCTGTGCCGCACTGGGCTGTGGGGCGGCCGTTGCTGCCCCCGGTTTGGCCGCCTTTGGCCCGGGACGTGGCCCCATTTGGCTCGACAACGTCAAGTGCGAGGGACATGAGGCATCGCTTGTGCAGTGCTCGCACATAGGCGCCTACGCGCACAACTGCGACCACACGGAGGACGCTGGCGTGGTGTGCGCAGGGCCTGGATAAACGGCCATCCCAGTTATGGGATTTCAACAACAAAACTTACAATGATAATAAACCTCCTGATCAATGAGTTTGTGATCAGATGGCTCGGTGTGTAAATGGCCACGTCAGTGGTATTTCTGAGCACTGGTGTCTTTTTGTAAGCGCTGAGCAGGTAATTGAGAGATTGGGTTTAAAACCCAAGTGATGAGTGTCTTGGTGGATTTATGCCTATGTCGGAGAACCAAAGGACTAATTACGAGGAGATGGTTTAAAGTTCTAGGGCTTGGTGTGTCTCATAGGGTTACTACATATTATTTTCGTGGCTCGAGTGTCTTTTCAGTGGTCTGATGTCCACGTCAGACCACAGGGTAAAACTCACTTGAGATCCTTGGATTCAAGCACCAGGTTAGGGGGCTGAAGCCAAGCTGAAGTCATGAATGAAATTAAAAATTATGTTTTGAGTCCTGGGCTTCAACCTGAGACCTCGTGCATCGTAATTATAATGGTTTCAACCAAGTTTACCACGAACCACACAACAACAACAACAAAGAAACCCATCACGTAATTGTTCCTTTTTTTCCTACTGAAATTGTCCTTAAACGGAGGGATAAAAAAATATGATACTACGTCAAATGGGGGATGCTGCCATGTTGTAATAGTCAGCACGCTGGACTTGAGAAGTCTCTGCTTCGATTTCCCAGCACTGCAGTTAAAACAAAGAGAACGGTCTGCACAAATGGATAATGCAATTGTTTGACTGCCATGTTCTGGCCATCTCTCAGTCCAGCAGATTTGGGGGTAGCATTTCCACCAACTCTTGCATCCCAAGTGTTGGATCATGGATGGGCGTGTGGAACCACGCAGGACTGACATCATGTGATGCATTGGTGACTGACTTACTTGAATTATCCCTGTTTTGCCAACATAATCTGTAACTTTATCACAATTTTGTTTCATGGTCAAGATCAAGAGGCCATCACCACCAATGCCATTGATGTCTACACACTTCACCATTGCTTCCTTTGTTTTGCTACACCCTCCCCCCCACCCCTTAATTTGCGTAATTGACATTCAACCTCCCACGTCTACGCTACAATATCCTTACTGCGTGGCTTTAGATCGGGGGTAGAGAACTTACGGTGCATGGACCGCACAATTTCATTTTTTTCCCGGATGATTCACGCTTCGAAACGGTCAGCAAAAGATATTCATCAATCACACATCTCAGTCACACTCATCGGGTACAAAGGTATTGGATAAATCCTCGAACCGCAACTCGTCTTATCAATGGCAGCTTGTAGGGTTCGTGAAACCTCCTTTTAAACGCGGCCCTATTTCTTTCTATTCGTGATTTTCCCATAATGCATAATGCTTCCTAATACTGGCACTTTTTTCACAGATAACAGTTGCACGGCAAATTATTCCTGATACCCGTGGTTATCCGTGATGTTATTATTGTTACTTTTGTATGACCACGATCAAAGTAAGTGCACGTGCGGAACTTGCTATGAGCACGAGACAAGACAGACAGACCGCAGACACGATTATGCTCAGAGACACGGAACCGAAAAAAGAGACAAACATACGCAGAGATACAGATACAGACATGGAGAGAGAGAGAGAGAAGGACACACGAATATACCCTGAGAGAAATTGAGACATACACTGGGAAAAACGGAGGTAGGCGTTGGCAGGACAAGTCACTAACCACTAACAGCACACGGGTTGAGGAACTTGTGTAACTCATGTGCAAACACTTTGCGCTTAAACGACCCCCGCTGCGCTTTAAAGCGTCCCTTACACACGATTTTATGGCTATCAAGAGTCGCGGCAAAAGGTATCATTACCAGGGGGGTTATCCATGGGTAATGGACGTTAAGTCATTACCCATATCCACGATTTTTTTGCGGATTAAGAGGAGTCACATGGCAAGTTCACCCTATAATATGTGGGTTATTAGCAACATTCTATCCCACAGAACAAGAGGAAAATCATGGATAATAGGATTCGTGATATTGGTCCCTATATAATTTCAGGTAAAGAGTTATTTGTGATGATTTCGATCTGGCAACACTGTTTCTCATTTTAGCATGCTCGGTCACTTCTGTAACCGGAAGGGCCACTTGCGGTGACAGAAGTGAGGTGTTGCATTAATGCGTGGCCCGCCAAAGGTAGCCACTGGAGCTATGCACTTGTGAGTGTAACTTGAAAACTAATTTCCTTACAACTGCTTTTTGTGTATAGTTTGCTGTCCTTCCCCCGCACCTCCAATTAGCACGGTTGGCTACTTACGAATAAGTTTAACATACATATGTAGTGACGCACTCGGAGACACTAGGATTAGGAGGCATTCTATTTATTATAAGCCTTCACAGGTTACAAGGGATAACTACAACTCTCAGTCAGGACAGCTGGCAGACTGCCTGACTGACGATGCCGAGAAGGTGAAGACGTTGACGAAGACTCCAGCAGCCCGACGGGATCCCACTCCAAGCAACAGCCCTGAGCCTTCGCTCGGGGTCCACTTTTATCCTCCTTGCGTGGCTTCACTCCGCCCCGGCCACGCCCCCCTTCCAGAACCTACTCGCGGGTTCCCGGGCTCACCTCACGCGCCCCCTCTATCACCTTTCCCCTACATCCCTCTCTCTGGCTTATCACGTGACCTGCTGACAGACAGGGCTGCTGCAACTGCAGACCCCCTTCTCTGCCAGTAACCCGCGCTATGCTGCGTAGTGACCCATTCCATGTCACTACACATACAGTACAAAGGTATTTAAAAAGTCCAATTCGACTCTCGTTAAAGAATATGTTCCCCACCCGTATGACATGTAAATAAAATCTACTTTATTTTATTATAGTACCGACTCAATAGTAGGTATAATTTTCATACCTATATCACAAACTGGTTTTAAAACATGATATTAAATGCAAAAGTATATTTGCTAAAATAGGAATTGTGAACGTAAAAAAACTTATAGTTACAATTTTTTTTATTTTATTTAAATTCTGTATTTTTATCCAGAGCCCACTCTAGAGTATTGTATATCAGCGTGTTTAGATGGACAAAAATCTTAAACAAATAATCATTCACAGATCAAAGCCAGTCTTTAAGTTGAGCAAGTACATACAGTAAAACCTTGGATTGCGAGTAACTTGGTCTGCGAGTGTTTTGCAAGACGAGCAAAAATTTTAAGTAAATATTAATTTGATAAACGAGCGAGGTCCTGCAATACGAGTAGTACGTATAGACGCTTTATACTGCCGAGCGTCACGTGATCACAACTGATATACGAGTGCTTTGGATTACAAACACGTTTCCGGAACGAATTATGCTCGCAATCCAAGGTTTTACTGTATTTATAATTACCTATGTATTACTTGTTGATTTAAAAAAAATGTATGTAAATATTTTTGTTAGGTCAAAACCCTGGCCAGGCTGCACTGCTAAATGATGTGGTTCAGGTAGAGTTGTGTTCGACCTTAAATAATCCATTGGTGCTCCAGTTACCACTTGTCCTGGTTGTCCCAGGATTGTCCTTTTTTCGAGGTAGTTGTCCCGAGAAATGTCAGTCTCTCCAGGAAATTAAAAGTTATGGTGTTTGTCAGTTGTGTAATAAGTCACCACCTCCGATTAGCACGGTTGGCTACGGTACGGTGCGAAATAAGTTATGTTTTTGTGCTGCGAGATATCCCTATATCAACGACATGTCCTGGATGTTTGTTTGTACTGTATCACAGAGGTAACAACCCTGTTTGGGGCTCATCTCTTTTCAAGAGTCCCAACGCCATTGGTGGAAAGTTCACGTTCCCAGTGTGTTGACTGGGTTCAAACACAGGTAAGGCATCCCAGTGGCACTCTTTTGTATTGACCATTGCAAGGGCGATGGCTGGAGTTGACCACTAACCAGAAGTAGAGTCGAGTTTAAGAGGCGCCACGTTGGCGAGATGTTAACTGCCTCGCCTTGTATACAGGAGGTCGGTGGGTTCTATCCTGACCCTGACGCCTGCTGTATATTTGGAGTTTGCGTGTCTCTCTCCCCGTGACCGCGTGCATTTTTCTCCAGGGCCTCCGGCGTTTCCCTCCACATTTAGAAACACGTGTTTAGAGTATTTGGCTGCTATACATTTCCGCATGATAAGCCACTTCGTTGAGCTATCATTTGTGGCCAGGTCCCTTCTAAAAAAATAGCTATATAGCTCATTGGGTTTTACCTGGTAAAAGGAAACATAGTTGTAGTTTAGTTTTTATAGAGTCCTCAACATTATGATTGCGAGTTGGGCACTGCCATTGCAATGTGTCGTAATATACTGACGTGAAATATACTGCTGACCAAATTTTTGACAATAGTGAGCATGTTAATGGGTGGAACACACTCATGCATCGGAGGATGAACAGGGGTGTAGTTAGGGATATAATTATGGCTAGGGATATTGATTGGCTGTAGAATTATTTTTTCAGAGCAGAAGTAATTAACGTTATCACACCACCAGATTATTTGGTTTTGGGATGGATTTGAATTTAGAGCAAGGATGGCACCTTACCCCTGGGGTATGGAACCTACAGCTTTTAGGCCAGATACAACACGAGCCTTGATTTAATCTGGTCCACTACCACATGAGGCCTTCCTCTTCCAAAATGGCCTGCAAATAATATTTATTCATCACTGCAAGCATTTAGTGTCGCTGATCATGCACCATGAGTGTACGGAGGCATTCTGACTTCGATGCGTGTAAAATTTCGATTTAAAGCTTTCGTGACTGCAAGGATTCATCTTCTTTGGTTCTTTCGGTAGAGTCACGTAGAATGAGAATAAAATAATAAATTGATAAAATAAAATAACACAATAATATTCTCACGACGTTTCGGCCACAACACAAGCGGCCTTCATCAGGTGAAGGGACGAAACTGTCTGGAGGATAGCGCGTGTGTTCATTGTGTGGCCCAATTTAGGTACTGTATTTTTAAATCCTCTTCGATCCTCAGGAAGGGAACGGTTCCCTACCCCTGCCATACCCTTGTGACCAAAGAACACAGAGAACACAACACAGAAAGAAGTTACAGCACTGATGTGACGAAATAAACAAAGCACCGACCTCACAGCCCATAAACTGATCAGTTTCCCACTAATAACACCACGAATAAGCGACTGAGCCAATTACAACACACAAGAAGGGGTTTACAGCTTAACTCATGACCAGACAACTGACCTGTCAGCTATAAAAAAAAAACTGTGAACCAATCATATGGATGATATCAATAGGCTCAATGGCAGCATGACGACGTGATACTAGCGTAGAACCAATCACAGTGAGGTTAGACACTGCGCCAATCACAGCCGTGCAGCAACGCCACGAAACAATCACAGTGCAGCCCAGGTGATGGACCAATTGAAACAGGAGTCAAGTCTGGCCAATCAGCACAATGTCTGCTTTCTATGCACATACATTTAATTGCTGGTTGAACCTTGTCAATACATTGTGAAAAATGTCGTGTTAATAGTGTCACAAACCACGATAAGAGATTGTCTGGGTGTCTCAGGGAAGCCAATGCCCATGTCAGAGGGCTGAGACGTATTATTCTTTCACCTCCTCTCAGCTCAAGAGTGATGATGAGACCTTGCGTAGGGTTTCGGGAATTGGCATCTGTTTTCAGGTGTCAGTAATATGATCTGTGCCCTGTTCTGGCGGTATTGTGTGGAACTTTATTACAGTATACTGCACACTTTTGAGAAATCTAGGCTGACGAAGAAACGTGCCCAGGTTTGGTCCGTGGAAAAGGTGGCAATCCCAGGCTTGAATGCGTTCCCCATGTATGGTCCTTACCAGCTGTGTTTCCCAAATCATACTTGCACCCATTCTTAATTACATCAATCCATCTCATCCTTGGTCTCCCTTTCCTTATTTTGACTTGTACAAGTCTGTTCTAAAACGTGGTAGTTGCGTTCCCAAAAGAACACCGCATTATGGGAAAAATCGTGTCATAATAAGTAATATACAATGCAGGATAAAGCACAGCCCGCGATAACGCGTGAGATGCGTACGCAGGCCGAGCGAAGACTGAGGCGCGTGGGTAGCTTCTAGAAGCATCCAGCAACATCCCCGCCGTGTGTGACGCTCCGCCGAGGCAGCCGTACAAACCGCTTATTTCAACTCGCGCGACGTAGCTCTGTTAACCCAATCGCGTTATATCAAATTCCCGTCGTGAAAACACACGGCGTGAAAAGGGGCCGTCCATAAATTACGTCACGCAACTAGGGTTGGGGTGGGGGTGTCAGATATTTGTGACGATGTGTGACTAGGGGGGATGAGAAATGTGACGTCACATCAAAATGCGCAACTCTAAATAAATATAGACAACACGTTCTACTTAATTAAATAGACTTTTTTTAATGTTTGCTCCTACAACATCAGAGTGCAGCGCCACATTAAATACGCACTACAGTAACAATAGTTTAAAGCGATTTGAAGCATGGTTTATTTTCAAAATGAAAATATGGTTTTGGGGGTGGGGCAGAGCTTTGTGACGTCATATTTGAGGAGGGGGTCTGACTTTTTGTGACGCCGTGTGACGAAGGGGGGGGGGGGGGGTCAAAAATCGTCCAAAATCGCGTGACGTCATTTATGGACGGCCCCCTAGACAGAATGGAGTTCTGCGTATACCCCTTTTCGCTTTTACTGAAGCGTGCCGTGCGTGCGTCTTGTGATCCCGTGGAGTGTGGTTAGCATGAAGTGCGTTCGTAAAGAGCGCGCCGAGGCTCACTTGTTGGACTGGCCTAGCGACGTTGTTTCTCATCATTGCAGCCACCAGGGGCCCCACATTGCCCAGCGCGCTCCGCCTGCAAACTCATTCATCCGCGCGCTTCTGTACGCATGGGCGGTGGGATCAGCTGTAAGGGCAGGTCCACGGGCGCTGCTCCCAACTGCCCCGATGCTGCCCTCCCCGGAACCGACGTTCGGGAGCCGCGGGTCGGGAAGGCAGTGGCCGGCGCTGCGTTGATCTCCCAAGGTTTGGCGCGCCTGCAGGTCTACTCCGACGGAAAAGAGACGGCGCGGGATGAGCGAGCCAGTGGGGACGGTGAGGTACGTGCGTGGGGTGGGTGGTTCTGGGGTGTGCACGAACGACTGAATTTACGAATGAATCATTCGGTTTTCAGCGGGATTCACGTGAGTTTAGTCCAGTCGCTTACTGGGGATGGGGAAGGGGAGTCTCCACTGTCTCGAAAAGTTTTGTTTGTGTGATGCTGAACG